TGAGGAATTGGAATTAGAACAGAAAGTCATACAAGATATAAAGAAAAATTTCAAAATATTTTTTTCCACATATGCGAACTCAAAATAAAAAAATCTACCTTGGATCTTTCCTTACAACTGAAGGTTCGTACACAGAGAGGATGACAATGAAATTAACACCCCCAAAACACAATATGAAAGTTGAAGATCTGGACAGCTTCCTTATGAATGACATCCAAACCCCCAACTAATATAACTGATATTAACACGAACGCAGAAGTCTTTGAAAGAGAAATTGACAGCATGCCCATGCACTCAGCCCCTGGTCCGGACACGTGGAACTTTATATTCATAAAGAAATGTATAGTACCAATAGCATGAGTGATCAGTGTAATATGGAGAAAGAGCTTGGATACAGGGAAGATACCGGCAGCACTTAAATCAGCAGATATTGCTCCACTACACAAGGAAGATAGTAAAGCCTTGCATTTAGGTGTGGTGGAAATGAGGAACTTAAACGAAATACAGGTTACAGGACACAGACTTACTCATAGAAAGAAAGCATCATATCATAGGTCTGGGAATTATGATGTCTAACGACCTGACATTTAGTGAACATAACTGACCAAATAGCCAGGAAAAAGATAAGATGGATTATGAAAACGTTCAAATCAAGAGATCCCAAAACAATGAACAATGATAATACTATTTAAATCACTGGTGCTGTTCCGTCTTGAGTATTGCTCAGTACTCACTTCCCCCCTTCAGAGCAGGAGAGACCTCTGAATTAGAGGGAATACAGAAAGCATATGCGGCACGCAGATATATATATATATATATATATATATATATATATATATATATATATATATATATATATATATATATACATGATAAAGCACCTAAATTATTAGAACCGTCACAAAGCTCTCAAAATGTACTCTTTTTGGAAAGAAGACGAGAAAGGTGTCAAACAATATATATACGGAAAATACTGGAAGGCCAAGTCCCAAATTTGCACGGTAGAATGGCAACATACTGGAGCAAAAGATATGGAAGAAAATGCAGAACAGAACCAGTGAGGAGTAGAAGTGCCATAGACACAATCAAAGAGCACTGTCTGAACATCAGAGTCCACGGCTGTTCAATACTCTTCCAGCAAGCATTAGAAATGTTGCCGGAACAAAGGTGGAAGTCTTCAAGAAGCATTTGAATAAGTTCTTGCAAAGAAGTACTGGACCAACCGGGCTGTAGTAGATATGTGGACATGCAGGCAACAGCCTGTTGAACCAAGTTATGACAAGTCGAGCAGAAGAACTCCTGGAACCCTCTCCAGGTATACTCCAGGTATTCTTGACACAAAGCTTCCAGAACAGTCGATGATTGAGAGCGTGGGCTTTAATGATATTACCTGAAGTAATGACTGTGTATAATCTGTCACTACGATTTCCCTTAAAGAAGTTGGCGATAAGTAAAGCAATGAATAATAAACATATCAGGAACAGTTCTTTCCTTCAAATAAGCAACAAAACTCCCGGTAGCGACCAGTAATTGACATTGTAATTGATGTAGTTGCGTCATCATTTGCACAAGCAAGAATGTTCGTAAGGAAATCTCGTTTTCTTTGAATACTCAACAACATGAAATACTCGACTTTCTTTTAGTTTAAGCCACTAGTTACCGTGGAATTAACAACCCCCTTATCTTGAGGTTATCTTGAGATGATTTCGGGGCTTTAGTGTCCCCGCGGCCCGGTCCTCGACCAGGCCTCCACCCCCAGGAAGCAGCCCGTGACAGCTGACTAACACCCCAGGTACCTATTTACTGCTAGGTAACAGGGGCATTCAGGGTGAAAGAAACTTTGCCCATTTGTTTCTGCCTCGTGCGGGAATCGAACCCGCGCCACAGAATTACGAGTCCTGCGCGCTATCCACCAGGCTACGAGGCCCCTTGGTCAAGTTTTCATCATTTCCAAAGCACACATAAGCGGGTAGCAAAGATTCTTTGCCCACAAAAAACTGACTCGGCCGACTGGAATAAAAATGATATCGTCCTTTTAAATATATGCCACAGAAAATATTCTCCACATTCATCGTCGTTTTATCTACGCGTTGTAGCATTGCGGTGTAGCAGATAAGAGTCGTGTGATAGAATGAGCTCCTCACCGACTGTGTGGGGGTTTCCACACTAAGCCGTTAACAATGAGATGGGTAAGGATGGACGCAATCCATCCGTGTTTTGTTGCTTTTGAAACTTATCACGGAGGGATTGAACAAAAAAAAAAGATCAATTCTTCTCTACCAACAGCACAGAAAATGCTGTGGGTAGTGACGGCAGTGGTAACAGTGACCCAGGTCACTGTTACCACTGCCGTCCCCGTGGTGCAGAGGTAAGCCACTCGCCCCGCGCATCGCGAGCGATTTGGCCTGGGTTCGTATCCTGGCCGGGGAGGATTAACTAGGCGCCAATCCGTAACTGTACGCCTCTACAGCAGTGAATGTGTACCTGGTTGTTAAACGATTTGGTGGCATGTATTCCATGGAAAATTTGAGTTAAGGACCTGCCCGAAATGTTATGCGTGCTCTATATATATAGCTTTACAATAATCTAAGAGTTCTTGTATATATACTAAACAAAACAAATATTGTGCACGTTAGTAGCAGTTGGATGTTTGCTGCTTGAATAAACCCGTATTTCAACTATTCCACATCACTATGGCGACTTTTCTTCTGGTATTTGTCTTCTGCCATTTTTTCTCTTTAATTAAGAATGTAAATTGAAGTAATACAAGATGTATGTGTTGTATCATGGCCTGACCCTTGATCCCCTGTCAAGTGTTTGGCCGTGACCCCCCCAGGCTAGGAGTGGTGTCCTGTGGTTAGTGTCACTTGTTTGTTCTCGAGAGATTTAGGATTCATTTTAATTTACTGTTAAAGCCCAGGAAAATCCCCACAAGAGCATAGAGACAACTAGGTAGAGTAATAAACCGAAAAATATATATTTACAAATAAATACAAACATATAACCTGGTTACTTATACAGGGAAAGCTCCCTATTTCCTTCATGTACCTTGACAGATACATAATGCTCTTTAATATCACTGAGATCACAATTTCACATATAAACATAAGCAAGATTATTGTCAGGGACGTAATAATGCCAAGAACCCTAGACTCTCTCTATACTTCTGCTCGGTAGCTTTCCAAAGCAACTCAATGACCTCCTGCAATTTAAATGAATACAACTTTGTGGCTCATCTGGATATGTGGCCAAGTTTACACCTCTAAAATAGGGAATCTCTGGCTAGCACCTCTTCATCCTTTACCTTTAATACCAAATGTTCCATCATTTCTTATTAATCTCTAAATATTCTCCTTTAACCTTACTTTATTGGTAGGTTAAAGAGTGAATTTTTCCTTTACACAATATTTATACACATTTTATTCGTAAATCATAGCTACTACATGACTGTGGGCACTACTTTCAGGGGTGGAAGGATATCAGCGAGCTACCTGCTGGCAGCAGTCAGTTCAGGGAACAAACATCTACCTCATTGTTTTCATATAACTCTCTCGCGCTCGCTTTAGCCAAATCGCTACATAAACTGTTTTTACACAACATTTTGCATACTGCAGAAGAGGATCCTAACATGTTACAAGTAAACAATTAAAGAAAAAGAGTGTCGAGAACCAAGAAACGGACTTACTACAAAAGCAAGATCTTTCAGGGATTTTTACATCTTACAATATTTATTATTATTATTTCATATTAAACCATTTTAATATATATTTGTCTAATTACTTTTAAGAATCACAAAAGGATTCACTGTAAGATGTTGCTTCTGTGGTAAATCCTTCTCTTGGTTCTCTACTGTCTCTAAATGTACAGACAAAAATATAAATCCACTTTTTCCACTCCACATCCACTCGAATGCTTGTGTACATGCTCTGTTATATTTATATTTTTTTGAGGGGGATACTTGTCTATATTGATCTCGGGATTATGTTTCTGTTGAATAGATTAAGGCTCTTTAGCCCTCAGCTATGGAGATGGGGCGTCTCTTCTTGGAGTAGTCTTTCTACAATTGGTGTTTTTTCTGTGTAATCCCAAGTTGTATAACTTATACCAGGTGCTGGTCTAGAAGTATGGTGCACGGCTTGCTAGTACCCAGGTCGAGGGTTCAAATCCCCTCATTGCTCCAAATGGTTTCCTCCTCTTCATTAATGTCATAGTCGAGTACTTATTGCTGAGCTATTGCTAAGTCAAGCACCAATATATTTCTCATCCAAAACTGTCAACGTCAGCAAACTACCAGACCCCCACTGTCGTCCCGTGACGCAGTGCCCTGGTCCCGTGACGCAGTGCCCTGGTCCCGTGACGCAGTGCTCTGGTCCCATGACACAGTGCCCTGGTCCCGTGACGCAGTGCCCTGGTCCCGTGACGCAGTACCCTGGTCCCATGACGCAGCGCTCTGGTCCCATGACGCAACGCTCTGCTCCCATGACGCAGCGCTCTGGTCCCGTGACGCAGCGCTCACCGCTGACCGAGTTGGCGTCTTGCTTCAGCCACTAAAACACCACACTCACTGCTCCCCATGCACACGTCTCCACACCCAGTGTTACAAGTGTACATTTGATCAAGGTGTACTCCTTGTGTTATCATGGAGCCCCAGAGAGTGTAGATCATCACACGGGAGAGTGTAGCACACCCAGGTCACTGAACACGATTTATTTTTGTATTTTTATTGATAACCAGATTCTGCTGTAGTTGGCAAGGAGATATTTTCAATTGGAGAACTGGAACGGGGGGTCATTGATCTCGTTTAGTGTTCTTTAATGAAGACAGATATGAAATTGAATATTTTGGTTCATTTCTTCTATATTTGACAGGTGTTCATGTTGATAATGTTGTATGTTAGAGTTAGTGAAGATGCTATTCATTTTGAATAGGCAATTTAGCCCAATTTTTTGTTCTTGTGCTAATATAATGTTTGTAAGGCGTGTGGTGTGTTGCTCCCGCAGGAGGTGGATGAGGACGCGGAGGTTGGTTGTGAGGTGACGGAGGAGAGCGCCGCCGCCTCCAGCCGCTCCGAGCACGACCTCCGTCAGCACTTCGAGAAGTTCCTAGAGCGAATGGATCGCAGGAGATCCCAACCCTCCAAGGTGGTCCAGGGAGCCAGCGACGGTCCTGCCAAGGAGGTGAGTAGGAGGGAAGAGGAAGGTAAGAGTAAGGAGAGAAGATAAGGCGGGAGGGAGAGAGAGAGAACAGATACACATAAGGAAGAACTTTTAAAGAGAATTGCTAAACAATATTTGTGAAGTAGAAGAACTCCCAGAACCCCGTCCAGATAATAGAGTCCCAGCTGGACTCAGGTGGCTGATGATAGTCCCAGCTGGTCACAGGTGGGTGATGATAGTCCCAGCTGGACACAGGTGGCTGATGATAGTCCCAGCTGGACACAGGTGGCTGATGATAGTCCCAGCTGGACACAGGTGGCTGATGATAGTCCCAGCTGGACACAGGTGGCTGATGATGGTCCCAGCTGGTCACAGGTGGCTGATGATAGTCCCAGCTGGACACAGGTGGCTGATGATGGTCCCAGCTGGACACAGGTGGCTGATGATAGTCCCAGCTGGACACAGGTGGCTGATGATGGTCCCAGCTGGACACAGGTGGTGGGTCGATGCTGCTGGTAATGGCTTTCCAGTTTTATCTTCCTCGAAAGCTGCTGATGGATGTGACTTCTTGAAGACAAAGTTCGCGGTGTTGGAGAAACGAGTGTTGTCTCGCGTTTATTGAAGATCCTGAAAATAAATTGCAGGAATTTATCAATTTAGAGGCAGGACCGGTAATTCCAGAACCAGTTCCTGGTCGTCTCCGCTACAAATGCTTGCTAACTCCCAAATCGTACTGCGACATTGAGAGGAAGTTCTTGCTGTCAGCCCTTACCGGCACAGCTAAAGCCAGCTCACAGGTTTAGAAAGCTACTTGGGAGCGTCTGCCAGCTTCAGCCGGATGAATAGCCTCTGCCCAGGAACACATGGTTGCTCTTCTGGGTCCTCTATCTTCTAGTTCCCACACCCAACCCTTCCTCCTGATAAGATAGTTCTTTTTGTAACTATGTGGACTGTCGTACAAATATCGACGCGACGGACAAATAGAAAGTTAAGTTTGGTGATATTCATTTTATATAGTTCGGAAAATAAAGTTAAAGAACCAAATTGAAATATTCCTAAGCCTAGTATAGCACATATATGTGCTATATTTGCCCTAACCGTGTATTAGGCCTAGGATTTTTAGGTTAATTAGCTTTCATTAACACCATAAATTGAACAAATTTTCTGGTTTGCCCAAATTCAATAATATTAGTCTACTTTCTATTGTTCAATCACGTTCATATTTGTACGATCGTCCACATCTTTAATATTAGTACTCTCAGTCTAGGAGGCTAGGCTGCCCGAAACAAAGCACCGAATGTGTACCTCTTCGCTCTTCTCTCCCTCACACCCTCCTCCTGTTCTCTTCACGTCTTGTACCTGGCGCCAGATTCACGAAGGAGTTACGCAAACACTTACGAACTTGTCCATCTTTTCTCAATCTTTGGCGGCTGTGTTTACAATTATTAAACAGTTAATGAGCTCCGAAGCACCAGGAGGCTGTTTATAACAATAACAACAGTTGATTGGCAAGTTTTCATGCTTGTAAACTGTTTAGTAAATGTAACCAATGCCGTCAAAGATTGAGGAAAGATGTACACGTTCGTAAGTACTTGCGTAACCGCTTCGTGCTGCATTGTAGACGGAAATGATGGTGAGGGCGTTGCGGTGCAGGTGCTGTGGGGTGCTGTGGGGTGCAGGTGCTGTGGGGTGCTGTGGGGTGCTGTGGGGTGCAGGTGCTGCATGGTTAGTGTACCATCTAGGGGGGGAAGGAAGGAACTATCAGGAGAAAGCGTCAAGTCATTACGACTATATAACACTGAGAAGGGGGTCAGGATAAGGATTTGGGATGGGACTGGGGAAAGGAATGGGACCCAACCACTTGGACGGTCGGGGATTGAACACCGATCTGAATGAAGCGAGACCGTCGCTTGGTAGAAATAGCCTAAGCTACTTTATCCCTTTGAGATGTATTTTTTTTCTTGTCTCAATAAACTTACTTGAACATGAACTTGAACTTGGTTAGTGTACCCTCCAAGTTATCGTGTTCGTTCTTCGCCTTCGCAGCCTCCTCCAGATAACAGGAAATAACGGCGGCCAACAGAAGACATTGACCTTGCTTGGCGTGGTTGACCTTGCCAAGCGGGTAGTGTGATGGCTCGTCTGTCGGTGGTGACCTTGAGGACAAGTGTCACGCTGCATGCCATATGCGGCATGTTACCGTGACACATTACCTGGACTTGCTAGTGAGGAACCTATCCTGCTGGTCGGTAAGCAACCACACTTCGGTGCTTGCTACCTGTAATTCACCCGAAGTAAATGGAGGGACATTCTCACTACGTTTGAGGAAATGAAAATATCGATCCCGGGTGAAAGATAACATACTCACCCTCACAGGTGGAAGATTAGATTATGCGCTCCTGGTGACGACGCAGGAGAGTGGTGCCAGCACACACATGTATTTAGTCAATATTTGGCGCTGCTTACCACCATCGACACGAGCAAGAGAAAGTTAAACACAAATCAGATAAAAAATGTGTTAATCTTCGTGGCTTGCTACGTCTTTGAGAGAATTGTTGGCTGGGACTGCGAGTGTGGAAGTATTGAGGAATATAGCTTTGGAAAATTACATTTTAACTTGACTTCTGGGCTGGGGAGCGGCCTGACGTTTTATGAATGATGATACTTTGAGTTGACTACACCTTGAGTTGACTATACCTTGAATTGGTTTCGGGGCTTAGCGCCCCCGCGGCCCGGTCATCAACCAGGCCTCCTCGTTGCAGGCTGTTAGATGCGGCTGCTCGCAGCCTGACGTATGAGTCACAGCCTGGTTGATCAGGTATCCTTTGGAGGTGTTTGTCAAGTTCTCACTTGAACACTGTGAGGGGTCTGCCAGTTATGCCCCTTATGTGTAGTGGAAGCGTGTTGAACAGTCTCGGGCCTCTGATGTTGATAGTTCTCTCTCAGAGTACCTGTTGCACCATTGCTCTTCAACTGGGGTATTCTGCACATCCTGCCATGCCTTCTGGTCTCATGTGATGTTATTTCTGTGTGCAGGTTTGGGACCAGCCCCTCTATTATTTTCCACGTATAAATTATTATGTATCTCTCCCGCCTGCGCTCAGGAGAATACAGATTTAGGCATTTTAATCGGTCCCAATAGTTTAGATGTTTTACTGAGTGAATTCTAGCAGTAAAGGATCTCTGCACGCTCTCCACGTCAGCAATTTCTTCAGCTTTTGAAAGGGGCTGTCATTGTGCAGCAGTACTCCACTCTAGAGAGCACAAGCGTCTTGAAGAGTATCATCACGGTATAGCATTTCTAGTTTGAAAAGTTCTTGTTCCCCAACCTGTCATTTTTCTTGCAGTTGTGACGGCTACTTTATTGTGTTCTTTTAGGGTAAGGTCTTCCGACATGAGTACACCTATTTTACATTGCTTTTTCGTTCAGTGTTATGATTTGCCTGAGTTTTGTACGCGGATTCTCTTTTTATAATTTCATTTTTTCCATAGCGCAATAGCTGGAACTTATCTTCACTAAATACCATATTATTTTCTGAAGCCCATTGAAAGATCTGATTTACATCTGACTGGAGGTTTGCTGTGTTCTCTATGTTGTCTACTCTCATGAAAATCCTAGTGTCATCTGCAAAGGATGATACAGTGCTATAAATTGTGTCCTACTCTATATCTGATATGAGGATGAGAAAAAGTACTGGAGCAAGCACAGTACCCTGGGGGACTGAGCTCTTCACGGTTGATGGGCTGGATTTTATTTTATTGACTATTACACATTGGGTTCTGTTAGTCAGGAAATTGTAAATCCATCTGCCTATTTTTCCGGTAATTCCTTTTGCACGCATTTTGTGTGCAATAACACCATGGTCACATTTATCAAAAGCTTTTGCGAAATCTGTGTAAATTACATCAGCGTTTTGCTTGTCTTCTATGGCATCTAATGCCATATCATAGTGGTCCAGCAACTGCGACAGGCAAGAGCGCCCTGTTCTGAACCCATGTTGTCCGGGGTTATGGAGATGCTGTGATTCCATGTATTTTGTAATCTTATTTCTTAGCACTCTTTCAAAGATTTTTATGATGTGCGATGTTAGTGCTATCGGTCTGTAATTTTTTGCCTCTGCCTTATTTCCTCCTTTATGAAGTGGTGCTATCTCTGCTGTTTTTAGTATGTCAGGAATAACGCCAGTATCTAGGCTTTGTCTCCACAGAATGTGGAGGGCCTGCGATAGTGGTTTTTTACAGTTCGTGATGAATATGGAGTTCCAAGAATCCGGGCCTGGTGCAGAGTGCATAGGCATACTGTTTATGGCTTCTGCAAAATCCAGTGGGGATAGGGTGACGTCTGATGTATGATTTGATGTTGGCATCACATCCATGAAAAATTAATTTGGGTTATTAAGCTTTAGTGTGTTTAGTGGCTCGCTGATAACAGTCGTACTGATTCCTCAGTATCTCGCTCATTATTTTGTCATCAACTGTGAAAGTTCCATCTCCATTTCGCAGGGGCCCGGATACTAGATGTAGTTTTTTTTATCTTGATTTTGCATAGGAGAAAAAAATATTTCGTATTTCTCTCTATTTCACTGATGGCCTTTTGCTCTCTTTGTCTCTCTTGGATTTTGTATGATTCTTGTAGCTTTAGTTTAATTGTTTCTATTTCTCTACCTAGTCTTCTTCGTCGTTCTTGAGATAGGGTGTTGTTCTCAAGTTGCTCCGCGATTCGTTTTCTTCGCCTATAGAGGGAAGGACGTTCCCGTTCCAGTCTGCATCTCTTCCTCTTTTTTCTTAGGGGTATGAGGTTTGAGCATATTTCTAGTGCTACTGAGTTTATTTTTTCCAGGCACTGGTTCAAGTTTGCATTTCCTAGCTGTTCTTTCCAGCTTATTTCTGCGAAGTCTTGGTTTATTTGCTCCCAGTTAATGTGTTTATTATTAAAATTGGATTTGCTGAATTCTCCTCCCCCTGGGACTTGGGACTGATAGTGCAGGTCTACTCCTCATGCTTGTCAGAACTTCAATTAAGTTGTGATCTGAATAACAGGTATTTGTAATCGTTATGTTCCTGATCAGTTCATCATTATTAGTGAATATGAGGTCCAACGTGTTCTCTTTTCTAGTTGGTTCTTCTATTTGCTGGATTAAGACAAATTTGTCGCACATCCGTAGCAGGTCATTTGCATGTGCCTGTTCATTTAGGCTACTTCCTGGTATTCTTTCTGATATTACTGTATTAGCCAGGTGCTTCCATTTCAGGTGCCGTAGGTTGAAGTCCCCCAAGCAGGATGATGTTCGGGGCTAAATTTGTGAGGTTTTCCAAGCAGTGTTCTATTTTATTAGTTGGTCTTTAAACTGCTGGTGATTTGCCTCCGGTGACTTATATACAAGGACAATAATTACATTTAAGATCTCTATTTTGATTATCAGCACTTCCACCATATCATTTGTAGTGTTTAGCAACTCAGTACAGATGAGTGTGTCTTTGATGTCTAGGCTGACCCTACCCTGTAGCCGGTGTTTCCTGTCACATCTGAAAAGATAGTACTCTGAGATCCATATTTCACCATGATGGTAGTCCTTTGTGTGGGTTTCTGTTAGGGCTGCAAACACTGCATTTGCCTCATGTAGGAGGCCAGCTATGACTGATGATAACCACCTCACCCCCTCCGGAACATAACCTCTGCCTTCCTACTTAAACAACAAGGGTTAGTGTAGAGAGAGAGACCAAGCTTGTGTCATCATGGGCTGGAGGCACGCGGTGTTGGGTGTTGTATTCACCTAGTTGTGCTTGCGGGGGTTGAGCTTTACTCTTTCGGCCCGCCTCTCAACTGTCAATCAATCAATTGTTACTAACTACTAACTAACTAATTTTTGTTTCACACACACACACCCAGGAAGCAGGCCGTAACAGCTTTCTAACTCCCAGGTACCTATTTACTGCTAGGTAACAGGAGAATCAGGGTGAAAGAAACTGCCCATTTGTCTCTGCCTAGTCCGGGAATCAAACCCGAGAGGCTCCAGGGGCCAGATTCACGAAGCAGTTACGCAAGTACTTACGAACGTGTACATCTTTCCTCAATCTTTGACGGCTTTGATTACATTTATTAAACAGGTTACAAGCATGAAAACTTACCAGTCAACTGTTGTTAATTGTTATAAACAGCCTCCTGGTGCTTCGGAGCTCATTAACTGTTTAATAATTGTAAACAAAACCGTCAAAGATTAAGAAAAGATGGACAGGTTCGTAAGTGCTTGCGTAACTGCTTCGTGACTCGGGCCCCAGGTCTCTCGGAGCCTCGACAACCAGCCACAGGAAGTGTTATTTTGAAGCATGGATCCAGTTCATGCTGTCATCATTTTGCATGTCCATTGACTCCTCCATCTTGTGAAGGATCACATTTACTGAGATGTGGGAAGGGAGAGAGGATATTTCTCACCATCTGGGATTCAAAAAAAAAGCTAATTGATAAAACCAAATATTCATAGGTTTTGCAACCTATGAAAGTCTTCTTTTCACTCTACAGTTCCATATTTGATGTATTTAATTTACCAAAAACATTTGAGCAAGCGTGGAGTCGTGTACAGAATGCCAGACGTTACATATCACTATTGACTGAGGCTGCGAATATCGAATTGCCAATGACTAAAATATCGCTATATGTTCATTGCTTTTCGCAAAAAAAAAAAAAAAAAATACTGTATTGTCTTAACTAGTCCATAACGGTAAAACGTTGTTGAAAAAGACAAGCTTTGATATCAAGATTTTTCCTAGTATTGTTTTGATATAATTCAGAAAGTCGCTGTCAATTCAAAACTTGTTCACTCGGCCAATATTCACTTGTCTAGTATCGGCTTTCATATCCAGACCGTCAGGTGTTATCAACTTATAATAGCCAGAGATATCCTATGCCACCCCGAGCATCATATTAACATGGGCCCACTTTTCAACCCTCAATAATTGAAGAGCCTCATCATGGTCTAAGTATGAAGCAGCAGATTTTAGTGAACTGCCAATTCGTGATCGCCTTTATAGTTGTGTATGTTAGTACTTTATTTGATATATATACACAGTGTACAGATGACATTCTTTCCCAGGTTGGAATTCCTCCCCACTTTCTTCCCTTAGATTTGAAATTGCTCTCAAGCAAGGTGGCGTTCGTTTTACAAACACTACGCCATAGTAAATAATTTAGTTTGGTGTCAATTGGTTTGAAAAGAATTTGCATATTAGGCAGTGTAAATAATCGGTTATTGGTCATTTGGATTGGTATTAATTATTTCAAATATATTTATTTACTCGAAACTAAGAGTTTCTTGAAGGCTAGTTAATTTTACACTGATAGTTAAGGTTTATTGGTAAAATCATTTACTTAGCAACAGTATTCACCCGCTGTCTATACAACATATAAAAGTATAAAACATTTTACTGGAAATCAAAGTACAAAGTACAAAATATCTTTACTGTCTCTGTATGGCAATACTCCGGGGTGAAATTCAGTAATAATATGGCAACACCTCTCAATACTTATTCAGCTCGTCCTTCTAAGGTTTCCCAACATCAAGAAACTGTCGTACTAAAGTGCCCGATCCTAACCTACCAGAGAACCCAAACAGAAAACGAGACAGTATGTCAATTTCGCGAGCCACTTCCATTTTCTAGTACGACGATTTTTTCACCTTAGGTAAAGTATGCATCAAAATATTCCGGGGACGTGGTTATCAGAACTCATTAGGCTTTTACTCTACGAAAAATTTTCCAACAAAGAATATGACTACAAATCCACTCATGTAATAGTTGCTTTTATCATCAATAACACTCGAATAGTCGAGATCAATTAAATTCCAGAACTGCCACCCAATGTACTTCCACCTGGAGCGGTCTGCGGATCGACTCTTGATTATCCTGGGCAGCTACTGAAGACACACAGGAGTACCTACGCCACGGAGCTCTTTGTGACCTGTCGTGATCCAGCTCTCCAAATATTCCTCAAGAAGTTGACCAGTGACTCCTCTATGTTGCCCCTCGAGTACTGCTTAGCGTAACGCCATTTTTGGAGGCTTTAAACTACACCTTCGTGGGACTGACGGGCGACATTATGACTCCAGAGATCGTGGCTGGTACAACCATGACTCCAGAGATCGTGGCTGGTACAACCATGACTCCAGAGATCGTGGCTGGTACAACCATGACTCCAGAGATCGTGGCTGGTACAACCATAACTCCAGAGATCGTGGCTGGTACAACCATAACTCCAGAGATCGTGGCTGGTACAACCATGACTCCAGAGATCGTGGCTGGTACAACCATGACTCCAGAGATCGTAGCTGGTACAACCATAACTCCAGAGATCGTGGCTGGTACAACCATAACTCCAGAGATCGTGGCTGGTACAACCATGACTCCAGAGATCGTGGCTGGTACAACCATGACTCCAGAGATCGTGGCTGGTACAACCATAACTCCAGAGATCGTGGCTGGTACAACCATGACTCCAGAGATCGTAGCTGGTACAACCATAACTCCAGAGATCGTGGCTGGTACAACCATGACTCCAGAGATCGTAGCTGGTACAACCATAACTCCAGAGATCGTGGCTGGTACAACCATAACTCCAGAGATCGTAGCTGGTGCAACCATGACTCCAGAGATCGTAGCTGGTACAACCATAACTCCAGAGATCGTGGCTGGTACAACCATGACTCCAGAGATCGTAGCTGGTACAACCATGACTCCAGAGATCGTGGCTGGTACAACCATGACTCCAGAGATCGTGGCTGGTACAACCATGACTCCAGAGATCGTGGCTGGTACAACCATGACTCCAGAGATCGTGGCTGGTACAACCATGACTCCAGACATCATGGCTGGTACAACCATGACTCCAGACATCATGGCTGGTACAACCATGCCCAATGGGGAGAGCCTGGAAGTTGAGCTCAAACGTATGATTACATAAATATTATCGCTCCTGATTCCTTAAATAATAATAATAATAATTATTATTATTATTATTGTTAAGTGAATGAAATGTTATTATCCACGTGTAATCTGGTTAGTAATTGTAATTTAATATATTCATAACCTAACCACGTTATTTAGATATGAAACCGTTGTTATGACAGATAGTTATGTTAAGGATGAGACTAAGCGGAGACTAACAGGGTTTTCCCTTCCGCAGGCTGCAGTGGTGACCCTGGCGGAGGACGACTTCCCCAAGAACTACACCAGGAAGGCCAGACCGTCGATATGAACGCCAGCCCCACCCTCTCCATGCTTGTATACTTGCTTTATCCTACCGCAGAAATCCCGGGTCAAGGGCGCTCCTACGCGCCGCCAAGGACGTCTGCACGGCCAAGAGGCACTCCAGGATCTCCTCTTGGATATCCACAAGCCACACGTTCTTATTCTGCGACATTGTCGCGTTCAGTGTTAAAACTCGGTGAACGTTGGCACATACGGCGGTCAATTCTGAGCGCTTGGTGAACATTTCTAGAGGATTGATGCCTGGAGCATGCGCAGGAACCAATGTGTTGCATGTTGGTTTGTAAAAATGTATGTAATAGTATTTGAAAGCAGTGAAGTTTAAGGATTTGTTAGTGTGTAGAGCGTGTGGGTTATTGAGCAGCTGTAGGGCGGGAAAGGACGCCCCCTCCACCGTCCATGGTCACCACTTCTGTAATCAGGAAACTTTAGCTTCTGTAAGTCATGTTCTCTCCCATGATGTCAGCAGACTGTGTCGCTGGCTGTGCCGCCAACCACACCACCAGTGTGGCACAGACCCACCAGTGTGGCACAGACCCACCAGTAGTGGGAGACAGATCTAGCAAACTGGACGGATTATTTCTATGCGAAAGTTAAAAGAAAAAAATGTGCTTTTGTACTTTTTGTAGCGCTCCACTGGATTTGTCGTCTTGTCGGGGAATTAAGCAAGTGTGTCTGGCAAGCTATCAAGAGCGCAGAGCGAGGCAGTCAGCTGTCAAGAGAGTATAGGGCTTGTCAGCACCTAGCTCAGACAACACCTAGGTTCCTGACACAGTCGGCCAGGCCACCACTTGCTAACGATTTGCTTTTGATCGCGTTTTTCTTAGCATAGTTCAAGTCAATTAATTTAAGGACTTCTGTAATATATATATATATATATATATATATATATATATATATATATATATATATATATATATATATATATATATATATATATTTATATATATATATATATATATATATATATATATATATATATATATATATATATATATATATATATATATATATATATATATATATATATATATATATATATATATATATATATATATATATATATATATATATATATATATATATATATATATATATATATATATATATATTTTGACATGGTTCTGGAGCGTGATAGTGTGAGGAAGGGAGTGGGTGAGCAGATGTGACTGTTGACTTGTGTTGAGTCACCTTGAGGTATCCTGGCTATACTGGCGCCGCTAGCCTGGCAGTATAGCGGCCCCCTCCCTCCCTCCCTCCCTCCATGACTCCCTCACACTCGTTCCCTCCCTCCCAACCCCCTCCCTCCATATCTCATACTCTCACTCTCTCCCTCATACTCTGTCTCTCCCTTAATCCTTCCCTCACTCCCTCTCTCTCCCTCATACTCTGTCTCTCCCTTAATCCTTCCCTCACTCCCTCTCTCTCCCTCATACTCTGTCTCTCCCTTAATCCTTCCCTCACTCCCTCTCTCTCCCTACCTTAATCCCTCCCTCCCTCCCTCACAACCACTCTATCACACTACCTCCCTCCCACTACTTTCTTCCCATCTGCCTTCCTCCCACTACCTGACGATGCCCTTACCCTCTGAGGCCCATCCTTCCCTGGAGATGCTACTCCATTGAAGCCCAACTTACCCTCTTCCACTGACCACTCAATCCCAACCATTTCCAGCGGGTCCATCCTCACAGCTGTTCCATACAATCCATTTTCTTCCTGCCACTGTACTGTACTTCCCATAGCCCAAACCTCTTAGAAAAAAACAGGGCTTTTCTTGGAGCCACCGTTCTTGATATGCCCCCCTGGAGAGCCTCGTAAACCAATGATAATGTCTGGACACGAAGCTTAAAAGTCTGGTACACAGTTACATGTTAAGTGATGAACAAGGCAGAATAACTTAATGAAAGAGAGTAGGGGAGATGGAACCAGATATATTTGCAATATTGGAAACTAAACTAACTGGAATAATAACAAATGCTCACACACCTAAATGGTACAACAACAGCTGTTTGATATTTGTATAACATGATATAATTTGTTGGCTTCGATTGATACTAAGGACATACCGCGTGAGGTCGGACTGGTACTGTACAGGGCTTCGCATGTTATGAGGGATCTGTATTCTTTAGGATTCATCATGTTAGATGGGATCTATATACTGTCTGAGACCTGTCATTTTAGATGGAATCTAAGCTGTCTAGGATTTGTCATGTTAGAAGGTATCTGTACTAAGACTTACGATGTTAGACAGGACCTGTGTTGTCCAGGTCACATCATGTAAGCGCCCTCAATAGCTTTATGTTGAAGTATTGCTGTGGGTTATCTTAATTAAAAAACAGTACTATATAAATAATATAATATTGAATAGATACGTCATAACTAACATTATTCCTATTTACAATGGAAAAATACTTTTAAAAGTAACTCCCTTTTGTAATTAAAAGAAACTTTCTACATTAAATTGAAGGGAACTTCTTAGTTGGGGAAAGGGGGTTGTCTGGTAGGCCTGAATAGCTGGGTTCTAAGGGAAGGGGCAGTTGGTGGGCCTAGAATAGGCCCCTGGGCCTATTCTAGGCCTGTAGGGCCTATTCTAGGCCTGTAGGGCCTGTAGGGCCTAGACCCGGGCCCTCAGGTGCAGAAAGTAAGTACCGTGTGAGCCTCATCACTGATCAACCATAACAGTCGCTGACAGACTGGTGGCGCCCACCGGCCGACGGTCACACCAAGTCTCTACAGAACTATTCTATAGTATTCATGTTAATCCTTATTCACTGTACAGATGTAAAATAAATGAAATGTGTAACTTTTGATGGGTGGTTTTATTTACACCTCCTCGCCCACAACTCCCGAAGGTGTAATAAGTAAATATACTAACTAGAGAGTTTAGACAACATCCCAATACCCAGGTGAGGTGAAGGAATTAGGGGATATCCCCATAACATGTGATGTAATCAGGAAACGCATTAACAAACTGAAAGATTTAAAAGCCCCAGGAGTAGAAAGAATTCAATCCAAAGTCGTTAAAGAACTAGCAACAGAGCAATGTCTATCACTGAAACTACTTTTCAGAAAATCTCTGGATCAAGAGACAGTTCCCGCTAGATTGGAAATACTGTATGTACCTGAATTTACCTAAGGACTCCTGACACTAGTGCCCTCGACGAAGACAGGAAGCCGACGGCTTGTCGAAGGTACCCTCATTTGCTTTGATAATCTTTTCCAGTTGAATTTTGAGATTCAACATTGTCTTGGCATTTACAGTTTCGGCCGGCAGGCGGTTCCATGGGTTTATAACCCTGTGGGTGGTTTCAAGCTCAACAAGCTACAATGTAAGACAGAAAACAAGATATGCATTTTATCCCATAGGGTTTGTTATAAACTCATGGAACCACCTACCCACCGAAGCCGTAAATGTAAATATCCTACTAGAATTTAAAATACGAATAGTTAAAATCATCATGATAAATGAGGGACCTTTGACAAGCCGCCGGCTTCCTGTCTTCGTCGAAGTCATTAGAGAGATAGTGGCGCTCAAGTAAATTCAGGTAAATTTGGAGGATATTGTCCAGATCACTTCTTTGAAAGATCACAAACAAGAAGCAACGGTTTCAAACTCAACAAGCCACAATGTAAGACAGGAAATGCTTTTTCACTTATATGGATATAAACCCATGGATCCGCTTCCCGTGGGAGCCGTAAATGTCAAAATACTGCTGGATTTTAAACATCTATAAAATCTTCAAGACAAATGGGGATATCTTTGGCAAGCCGCCGGCTTCCTATTGTAGCGAGTAAACCTTAGACTCGCTCCATTATCTCATTATCTTAATGGCATAACTAATTAGCACTAACTACACGAGTTACAATCCTATCCCTATGCAGGCGATGAGTCACAATAACGTGGCTGAAGTATGATGACCAGACCACACACTAGAAATTGAAGAGACGACGACGTTTCGGTCCGTCCTGGACCATTCTCAAGTCGATTGTCGTCGTCTCTTCAATTTCTAGTGTGTGGTCTGGTCATCAATCCTATCCCTATTTACAGGTAACAGTTCTTCCATCCACCTCTCCTAGTGGAGGAAGCTGAGGTGTAGTCACCGAATATAACCAAGCGAATTGCGAATAATGTAAATAGGGATAGGATTGTAGATATAATGTAAATATAATGTAATTATAGATGTAAATACGGACAGGATTGTAGGTCGTGTAGTTAGTGCTAATTAGTTATGCCATTAAGATTAATAAGATTTGTTCATAAGATAATGAGATAATGGAGCGAGTCTAAGGTTTACTCGCTACAGTGTCCTCGTCGAGGTCACAAGAAAAATATTGTCCCCCAAGTAAATTCAGTGGCTTTTAGTGGCCTCGACGGGGACATGAGGCCGGCGGCTTGTCAAAAGTATCCACCTCCCATTATTATATAAGTATATTTTGGTAGCACTTGTTCTTACAGACATATATGTTATTGAATTTGACAGAAATGGTAATTCAATTCAATTCAATGTTTATTCAAAAGAATGTGTGTGTGTGTGTGTGTTCAAAGAACATAAGAGTAAATGTACAATTGTAGGGATAGGAGTTACATATACTAATGAAGCCACTACTAGGCAAAGCGTTTCCCGCAAAACAGTTTAGTTTATTTCATTTATTATGCACCCCATACCCATCGTGTGGGCGGTAGTGGAAAGGGTTACAGAGGCACATAATGGGCTCAGGGACTGAACCCCACAATTCATTTAGCTAAGCAAGTTACAATCTTGATGAGCTAGTTACAAAATTCAGTGCACATCGTCACATCAACAATGGGCTCGACACCGGCCACAAGTTCCGCAAAACATAAGCGTAAAATAGAAAAAATAGACAAAAAAAGTTAACTAAAAGTGGAAGGGGTACAACACTTAATACTAAGAAGTAAGTTAACAAAATGAGAACGTTCATGGAAAATAACAAATGAATGCAAAAAAGATGATACTTGTGGATGACAGGCATAGACTATTACAATATGGAGTCAGTTGATGTAGCAATAGTACAGTAGTTAGATAAAGTTAGGATGCTGAGTTAGGTAAAATCAATATTATTCTGTATATGAGATCCTCTGATATCCCCATGTCACATGGAGTTAGGAGAAAATATGAGATTAGTGCCTAGTCTATAGAGTAAAGATTCTTAGATGAATACAAAGACTATAATTATCATTAAAAACAATTACTGTATTACCAAATACAACAGGTAGATGAGGCTGGGCGCTAAGGTTAGCGGTGGTCCTGGCGCGTCTAGCGGCCCGCAGCGGGCGCAGCAAGTGTAAACAAAAGGGCTAGTAAGGAGGGCAGCTCTCAGACAGTCTTAAGCACTCTAAAACGTTCTTCATTGTCCTGTTGTTACAAGCTGATGATGTTTGGCAGCGGGGAGCAGCTGGGGGCGGCGTGAGGGTGAGCTGCCCCACCTCACCCGCCATACTCTGCTCCAGTACCACCAAGCAAAGTAAGGTCAGGTCACACAGGTCTGGTCACACAGCACACAGCTTATAGCGCCATTTCTAACCATTAACACTATATACCGTTATGACAGGCTGGATTAGGCTATGTTATATTAGGTTAGATTATGTTAAGATAAACTCTTTGGTCTCTGGCCACTTTATGAAAGTTATAAGACTAAAAAAAAAAAAAGAGTTATAAGACTAAAAAATGATTATTTTAGGTGTATTGCAAAATATGCGATATAGATGTAAACAGAAGTTATTCTGTAAATTGACATTGCAGATGTAATGCATGGAGTCATGTCAACCCATTTGTAAGGAAATTTTGCCAATAAAACCATGTGTTATGGTCGATGTTACATTTCTTTTTGCATCCATGCTATTGGGAACATGCCTAGTATAACATCCCTGGCTCCTGGATGTTTAGCCCCATGTCTGGAGATTAGGATTCTGAGAGTTGACCAGACCACACACTAGAAGGTGAAGGGACGACGACATTTCAGTCCGTCCTGGACCATTCTCAAGTCGATTGTGACTCAAGTCGATTCTCACAATTGACTTGAGAATGGTCCAGGACGGACCGAAACGTCGTCGTCCTTCACCTTCTAGTGTGTGGTCTGGTCAACTTACTTTAGCCACATTATTGTGACTCATCGCCTGCATAGGATTCTGTGGTATCAAGGGAGACAGATGTCAGGTATCCCAGTGTTTGGCAGCTCATTACTTTGAAACCCCAAAATATTTGACCATGTTGAAAACCACATCTTTATTTATTTATTTATTTATTTATGCATATACAAGAATGTACATAAGGAATGTGAGGATACAAATATGGTAATTACAGTCTTGTAAAGCCACTAGCACTTCACTAGCACATCTTCAGCCAAGCCATCCTCCTGTTTAGATAGTATAGTACTTTATGAAACTATGTGCACCATAGTACAAACATTGATGTTCTGTACTAAGAAATTATATAGTAGAATTTTGCAATATTCACTCTATAGAGTCAAAAAAATTAAGCTAAAAAGCAAACTTAAATATTCCTAGGCTTAGTATGGTACACATATGTACTATATTAGGCCTCAGATATTGTGTATTAGGCCTAGGAAGGTTAGGTTAGGTTAGTTTAGGTTGTCTGCAACATAAATACAAAACCTTTTTCAGTTTGTCCAAATTCAATAGTACAGATTTCTACTATATATATGTACAATAACCCTCATTGTGGGGAATTGACCTGTGAGATTTATATTTATTTAATTTATATAAATTTATATAGAATTTTTATATAGAATTTATATTTTAAGTTTACATTTTTCGATAGCAAATTGTATGATGGTTTAAAGTAGAGTGTATTTCTTGAAATTCCCACAAATCGATTTTCTTACACATTATGGGGGTTTATGATTTATATGTAGTTAATCAAAATTACTGACTAGCAGACATTCACTACAGTATTAGACTACATATATACTGTATATATATATATTAACTAAAATGGGGAGGCCTTGTTGACCAAACCACACACTAGAAAGTGAAGGGACAGCGACGTTTCGGTCTGTCCTGGACTATTCTCAAGTCGATTGTGAGACTCGATTGTGAGACCATTCTCACTATCGACTTGAGAATGGTCCAGGACGGACCAAAACATCGTCGTCCCTTCACTTTCTAGTGTGTGGTTTAGTCAACATATTTCAGCCATGTTATTGTGACTCCTCGTCTGCACATGGGGAGGCCTTATCTTATTGTTGTTGTATCCTAGACAAACAGTATGAACACGGATGAATAAGCCAGTCGATCCACTTTGTGGGTGTGGCTGGCCTCCAACTCCTATACTGGAGTACTAGGTATCTAGTAATTCTTTTTCCTCTTCAATTGTTCCTGTCAAAGGATACAGTACTTGCAGTAATGGCAGTAATCCTATATATGATAGCTATATCAGAGGAAACATTGGTACAGGGTATATTGAATAAAGAGATGATAATATTGCTAACCATGGGTTGGTTGCTGCCTCATTTGCTAACCGGTTCGCCCTATATATACCTAACATCACTGGCCAGGAATGTAAAGATTAATAAACGGGTTTCGGTAATACACTTCCCTTATAGTAAATGTAGTTGCGTGTCGGTTTCAGAAGCACTTTACTTCTGTAACACAGCTGTCCAAGGGAGAATTCTAGTAGCTATTTTGCTCCAGCAACTTGTTAAAAATTAACAATGGCTGACTACTGGCTTCCCTCCCACTGATGCCCTGGCTCTCTTGTCCAGATGTCAAGAAGTGGTGGAAAGGTCACATTTACTCTATTTTGGTACTAATAATTAAGTTAATTCAAGTGAGATGGTTTTATGATGTAAATAGTCCAAAGTCTACTGTATTAAGAATGTTTCCCAACAGAATTAGCTGGTGAAATTAATGGCGACGTGGCAATGATATTCCGTTTTCCACGGGAGAAAATCTCATTATCTATGAGAGGAATATTCCACTGCCACATCTTCTGTGGGAATAACACTCTTTTTAGGGTTAATTTGTTATTGCAAACGGCAGCAATATTATCTGCCTATTGTATTAAATATTAGTAAATGGTGTCAGGTTTTCCGACACTCGTTGTTACTATAAATGCTGTACTACCAAAACAGGAGGATGGGCCATGTTCAAAGCACATCAAAGACATGTTCCGCTATGTTCCAAGACAAGCATCTGATATCTCCATGCACATTGCCATGTATATATTATGGGAACCAGTGAGTGGATCAGAGTGGAGCCAGTATTATGGGAGCGACGAGGACAAGAAGCTGGTAGCTTGTGAAAGGTCCTCACATTTGCCCTGATAATTTTTTATAGCTGGATTTTAAAATTTATTAAAGTTTTGGTATTTACGGCTTTGGCGGGTAGGCAGTTCCATGGTTTTATAACCCTGTGTGTGAAAAAGTATCTCCTGTTTTCAGTCTTACACTGTGGCTTGTTGTGGCTGAAACCATTGCTCTTAATTTGTGTTTCATCTGATCTTTTGATAAAATTCTCTGGATCAACATCCAGACAATTTAATCTACCATATCATATCTCCCATATTAACGTATGTCAGAGTATTGCACATACTATGGTGATTTTTTGTGTATTTTCCTGTATGCAGGAAATGTAGGTTTTCTGAACCTTCAATGACTGGTGATCATCTTAGTTCAGACTTTTCACCTCCACAGTGAAGTTGCCAGGAGGTTTGGTGTCTGCTCCCTCCCCTGTATATCCTTCATTATTTTTGTTAGAGGACTCGTTTGTCTAAGCTCTGGGGGAATATAAAAGCCTCTGCGTGTAGATTCTTGAGCAGATTTGGGCCTCAATCCTTGTCTCTCTACAGCTTTGTCGGTTGAAGGAACTAGGGCATCGTTGCTTTCTGAAGATGGCCCATGGTTTTCATTTAACCCATCCTGGGCCCTAGTCCTTAGGGCAGAGGGCCTGTTTCTCTGGTTGGTAATAAGCTTTATATCCATCCCAGTTTGAGCTCATTAATGGCTTAGATGCTCTTATTTTAAAGAAAATTTTTCTCAGTTCTATTTGGCTTCCCTGCATGCTAGACACAGTGATATTTTTTTTGTTAAGGGTGAAAAATTGCACAACTGGATTTAGTCCAGCTTTGTTTGAATTTTGATCAGGTGCAGTTTCCTGGTTGCTGTATTAGGTTGCTGTCTTTTCCTGGCCTATATTCCATTGTTATTTCTGGAAAAGTCGCATCTTTTGTTGGTTGAAAATTTTGCAATAGAAAATTTTCCTCTGGCTTTAATGTGTTCTCTCATGGACCTTGATGCCATTAATAGTACAGGGTTTGCACCTGCCTTGTTCTGTGAGGTGGGTTCTTACCAAAACCACGCCCGGGTTCCCATTTGCCTCTAGCACTGGTTTCAGTTGATCAGAAGGCCTTGTTGCATTTGGCCATTTCTATTTTTCTGGAGAGAGGTTCATTTCCAGTTGCAGAACGAATTGGGGAAGCTGGAGAATGATGCTTCACCAGCCTTGTTGGTAGTGTGTACCCACTAAGGCCTTGACCAAGTTATACACACAACGTAGGTCTCGATTTTTCCAAGTGTTTTGGTCTGGCCAGAGCATTGTCTGTTGTTATCGAGGAGGGCCTTCTGTAGTGCAGGCAGCCGGGTCGGTCTTCCCCATTCCTTTTCCCTTATCTAGTTGGCGCTGTATTCACTCTGTGCGGCCAGTTTGCTTGTGGTCAGGTTATCTTGAGGCCTTTGGTGGAGTTGGTTGGTCCCACCTCCTTTAGAGGATTTGGTTTTTTTGGGGCAGGTCCCCGAGGGGTTCCTTGCTTTTGTTGAGTCATCTCAGTGCGTGTGCTTTGGGTGGGGGCGGGCGGGCCTTCCTCCCTCTTCCAAGGGTTCCCTCCTGGTTCCTTTCCTGATTTTTTTTTAAACAGTTACTCGAGCTGTTGCACTGGTGCAGGAGACCGGTGTTTGTCCTTCTGGGTTCCTGTTGGGTAGGATTGGTTCTGTTGCTGATACTTTTAGGACAGGCTTTTTGCCTTTCTCGTGATTGCTGAGTGTGGTCTCTGGAGGCCCTGCGCTGGATGCTGTGTAGCCAACTTCCTCTTCAGGTTTTCAGGGTTCACTTCTTGGCACCTTCCTGTGTCCTTGCTCGATGTCCCGAAAGCTTCGGCTGTCAGATGGGGAATTGTGACCACCATTCACTTGTCCAGACTGGGTCATTGGCAATTTCCTTGTTGAGCACTTAGAATGGTGTGGGATTTGCGGCTGTGTGGCAGGCGCTGCAGTGATTTTGGATTCCTCTGCACTCAGTGATCCTGCTCCTTTTGGCTTGCTCCATGCGGTTCTTTCCTCAACCAGGGAGGGGGGGGGGAGAGTTCGGTCCATGACTCTTGGTGCTGGGTAGCTCGTTAGCTGAGTTCTTGGTGTTGCATCTCCATGCCGTTCATGTTGACGGTTTTTCAGCTGGACTGGTCGGGTTAGGGGTACATTTACTTCTTTTCCCCGGTCTGGCTGTTACTCTGAGTGCAGGCACAATTGAAGTCGTACAGAGGAAGAGTGATACTTCTGGCTCCTTGGTGGCCGGCCCAACCTTGGCTTCAGGCGCTGCTTGCTCGGTGTCCGATCCCGGGAATTTTTCTGTGGCTCCGCTTCTTTGAGAGGGTCGGGCTCTGTCACCTGCCTCGCCGGTTTGACTTCTTCTGCTCTACGCATATGGACTGTTGAAATATATTTATCGTCTGTTGAAACATATTTATTGCCTGTTGAAACATATTTATTGCTTGTTGAAACATATTTATTGCTTGTTGAAACATATTTATTGCTTATTGTGTGGTGATCAGGTGGTTGGGCTATAGGGGTCCCACCTGCTGTCTTATTCCCAGTAGCCGTATGGGGTTCTTGGTGGGTTTTTCATCATTTTTTATTTTTTTGTTGCTTTTCGGTTTCCAAGCGGGTTGTTGTGTTCTTAGTTTTTATCTTGTTTGGCTTCTCGAGTCAAATACTGTCACCTCTTATTATGCAGCGTTGGCACAGTATGTTCACATGCACAATGCAGCACAGTATACAGTATTCTTGTTATGTTTCACAGTCTTAATGCAGCACAGTATGTTCTTATGTTTCACATTCATAATGAAGCACAGTATGTTCTTGCTGTGTTTCACAGTCTTTATGTAGCACTGTATGTTCATATTAGGTTTCACAGTCATGATGCTCAGCTGTTTTCTTCCAGACATTAGTGAGTCATGGATCCACTTCTAATGGAGTGTGAGGACTCGGGCATCAAGGTGGAAGTGAAGGAGGAGCCAGAATATATATACGTCGATGAATCGGTGAGTGTTTTAAAATTGTGGTATAGTTTTCTTAATAATAATAGTAAAACCTTGAATCTAGTACTGTATTTGTTATGTTCTGAATATAAAGAAATGCTTATATTGTACAGAGAATCTTCAAAGTCTGCACTAGTATATTGTTCCAGATACATTAGGGAATTTAAAATACAGAATTTTGAATTTTTGAATTCTTAGTTTTCTGTGAGGGCCCCCCTGAGTACCTCCCCATGGTTACAGTACGGTAGCTGCCAAGCCTTTTTCGGCACCAAGCATCTGAGATCCACTTGAGCCGACTGGGAGCCAGAACAGGAAATGGCTTTGGAGGAAAGTCAAACAGTTTTTAGACCTAGAAGAAAGAGCTTTCTAAAAGTGGGACAGAGGGAATGTATGGAACTGGCTGAAAAGAACCACTTGCATACCAGACTTGGATACAATTACACCATGAAACATAGCTACAACTCTGACAGGCACTTTACAACAGAGCTAAAACCATGACATTAGAACAAAGCTGCAACAACCAGTACTAGTCAGAACAAATCTGATGTGGCCTCACATAATAAACCCGTCAGAAAAATCTCCCAATCAAAATACACCAAATAGAGTATTCTCATTCATCTTTGCCAACATAAGAGGATTAAAAACAAGAGCAAAAAACAAAGTACTGTTCATAAATGGTCTCCTCACAGAGTCAAATGCAGTATTTGGAGATTTCCCAGAAACTCTGGGCACAGTATGTTGTGGTATTGGGAGCCGGTCGGCTGAGCGGACAGCACACTGGACTTGTGATCCTGTGGTCCCGGGTTCGATCCCGGGCGCCGGCGAGAAACAATGGGCAGAGTTTCTTTCACCCTATGCCCCTGTTACCTAGCAGTAAAATAGGTACCTGGGTGTTAGTCAGCTGTCACGGCCTGCTTCCTGGGGTTGGAGGCCTGGTCGATTACCGGCCCACGGGGACACTAAAGCCCCGAAATCATCTCAAGATATAACCTCAAGAAGATAACCATGCAGGGAAATTCATGGACAGCAAGATCTGGATACCAGAATATAATCTTTAAAGATGTGATTGGGGTAAATAAGTCACAATTAAGAGTAGGTTTGTATATTTGAGAGCACTTTGTATGCTTGGAGCTCCCTAACTATACAAAGGAGGTGGTAGAGATACTGGGAGTAAAAATATAGTAAATAAAGTTAGTTATTTTTCTAATATACAAACCTCGAGATGCAATTGTTGAGGAATTCACAGAACATGAGAAAACTGGACAGTTTCATACAGTACATCAAATAAAAATGAAATAGCAAACACTATTAATATGAATAAGGAATATATAGTATTGTACAGATGAAGTACAGCATTAATGGGTACAAAGGATGACTGAGTCGAGGCTAGCTGGGTCCTGTGATGCTAGTCCAGACCAACCCTGTGCTGGACACGTATCTTCACTTTCACTCACTCACCTAACGCTACCTTCCTTTTCTGACAACCACTGACACCACCAGCCTTCCATGACAACCCCTGACACTACCTGCCTTCCCCTGACACTACCTGCCTTCCCTGACACTACCTGCCTTCCCCTGACACTACCTGCCTTCCCTGACACCACTTGCCTTCCCTGACAACCACTGACACCACCTGCATTGTCTGACAAAAAATTTTCATTGTTCAACCCCTCTCCTCAGGATACAAAGGTAAGTAAAATTAAACATTGTACAATTGTTTATGTAAGGGTTTGGAGGAATAAGCAAGATCTCATACGGGATCAACTTAACACGAAGAAGGAAACCCTCCAAACCCTTACAGAGTAGGCTGAACAGCAGTTAAATAAATTGACCCAGTACAACATCCCCAACCAGCTCAAGCAAACCATCAACATTGAACTACTCAACCTAAAACAACAACACAAAACCCATGTAGAAACCATGACCCCTCTGAAAGTTGACAGCCCTAAGCAGTGAACAGTTAAAGATCCCTCATCCAAAAGATGGCTACATAAACCTCACAACTTACTATTTTACTCAGTACCAACAAGACCTCTTGAATCTTGGTCTAAACTGTCAATTCTTATCAAAACCAAAAAGCATAAAAAATGCATTAAAATCAAAATGCTTCTGGACGACATCCATAAGTTAGAAGACAACAAAAAAGTCATCACCACTGGCACACTTCAGGCTGAACTACTAATAGAGGCGGGGGAAAAACAAGGAACATACTCATCAACAATCTTAACCCCACAACTCAAAGAAGTAGCAAAACAATTAAAAAATCTGGAAGGTGTAACAATAAGAAAAGCCAACAAGGCAGCAGCATACGTGTTGATCCCTACTCAAGAATATATGAATAAAATTAGCGACATCCTCAGTGATGACACTAAATTTCAATGAATCACGAGGAACCCTGTGGAAGACCTTACGCAAAGTGAACAAAACTATTACTGCAATCAAAGCAAAGAGAGGTAGTGTTCATTTTGCCAAACTCCAAGGTGACTATGGTTTAGGATATGCCTATGGCAATGTAAAGCCACATAAACCAGGAAACCCACTATGCCCAATAATCAGCCAAATACCAACTACAATGATGTTGTAGGGAGGGAGCCGGTCGGCCGAGCGGACAGCACGCTGGACTTGTGATCCTGTGGTCCTGGGTTCGATCCCAGGCGCCGGCGAGAAACAATGGGCAGAGTTTCTTTCACCCTATGCCCCTGTTACCTTGCAGTAAAATAGGTACCTGGGTGTTAGTCAGCTGTCACGGGCTGCTTCCTGGGGGTGAAGGCCTGGTCGAGGACCGGGCCGCGGGGACACTAAAAAGCCCCGAAATCATCTCAAGATAACCTCAAGATGTTTTCTCTGGGGTACTCTCTCTCCTACGTTTGCCTGAATACCACTAGGACCTGGTTGTGGTTCAGTGCTTGTTTGTCTCACTACAAATTTGTCAAGAGACATATGTTTTTCCCTTCATTTTAACATTTGTCTGTAATGATGCATCACAGTGTCATTGAATAGGTTAAGGCAACGACCTACTGCAGCTTGATTTGGGTGAGTCGTTTCAGCAAAGGTTTGCAATTCTTCCCATGCTGCACACATTTTCTTAATTGTTGAGGAAGAAACATTCTGTTCTCCTGTTTCTGCTCTATGGTCATCCTTACATGGGTTTTCATATGTTGAGCCTTACCACTGACTTTCCTGGGACTCATGGTGTGATATATAATAATTACTTTAATGTTCAAAATGCAAAAAAATCACAACAAACGCGAAATTTCTTATAGGGGCGATCGTCACTAAGCGTGCAGCTGTAGTAAACTGAGGCAGGTCGGACCGCGTGACCGGGAACCACGCGCTCGGTCGACCCGAACGTGTACCAACAAATATCGGAAGTCGACGACACCATTGGATGTCGAGTCGCATTTTTCGATGAAATTTACATCGTAACTCGAAATTATCGTAAGTAGGGGCAATCGTAAATCGAGGTGCCACTGTATATATATTAAATAATAGTTGAACAATTATTTGTCTTGTAATAATGTTTTACCTTTCCAGGCATGTCGGGTAAAACTGGAAGAGAAAGATGACGAGATTACATTGGTAAGGTTTATCAGTTTAAAGCATTAAACTAATGTTGAAATATTTCAATTCAATATTATAAACTAAGTTTTAATCCTTTTGGATGTGGCACCCTCTGGAACATTTTGTTTCCATCTTGGGTGATGACTGAATTAAAAGGTGAATATATTATATAGGGTGGCAGAGTATAAATGGCTTTATTCTTAACTCTCAAGTAGGGATTCTGGGTTTGATTAACTGGCAAGACAGAAATGATTGGGCATGTTTATCAATAGAAAATATTGTTTAGGTATCACATACCATGCCAGAAGTGTTACCCCAAACACAGACATCATCATGCAGTACATACAACCATAAGTATAATGGTCAACAGAAGTTTCTGGGGAAGCCCCTGGTGGCTCCCTAATGTTGCAAAGGTTCTGTTTGGTCTACCTGGGACCAAAGCTAGAACCTGGCCCCTCTCACCGATGTACAGGGAGAGAGTGTGACAGTTCGCCATCACACCCAAGAAAGCATCCAGAAAGTGAGCGAAGCTTTACAGATATCTGAAGGGCTCAGAGGAAATGAAGCCTTGAAAAAGCCAAAGAGATTAACTCAGACTAGCTGAAAAGTTGTTGGTACCAATCACTACCACCAGGTGGCCTGACCCCAGCCTGCAGTTGGCTCTTCAGACCAGCCAGCTTTGTTACTGATGCAATAGTGGTGACTGCTACCTGTAGTGCTTTGGCCCACCAGTTGTAGGCAAGTCCCACTGCTTCAAGTTAAGTGCTGACCATCCTTGGACTTGGTTCATCCTACGTGGGCCATTTGCTATTTATTGTTCCTTATTTAAGTGTTAGATTCATGTGTGTGTTTTCTGTCTGCTTGATGTGTGGACTTTTGTTGTGTTTCTAGCTGCATACATTCAGGGTTTTCATCTCTGAGTGCCTGCCCTTACACAGTCGAAGTTATCTTCTCTGATGGGTTTCAGCGTTTGCCCCTAAGAGGCCAGACCACTGGTGTGGAGAGCCTCACCTCGGGTCATTCATAAATCTTTGATTTCTCAGCTTGAGCACCTTGGTGTGGTTTTTTTTTTTTTTTTGGTTGTGCTGGGGCATGCTGGGGTTCGCATGCCTGTTTATATGGCTTGCCGCAGTCACCTTTTGTAGCCTGGTTGTTTTGTCAGCTTTTGATGACTGTTCCTCCAGCAAGTGGTTGCAGTGCCTGAGGTTTCTGCTTAGCTGCCTTCAAGCCTTGGCAATCCTCTCACAGATCTCTGACACAGTCCGTTATGGATCAACCATTCAAGCCCATGCTTGCCAAGTGCGAGTTCGAAGGGTTTTCATTTTCTTTGCTACCCGATGATTGCCATTTTTCCTGCCTCCGCCGTAATGTCTGCTAGTGTTGGTGACACAACCCCAAGTCCTGTGAGGTGTGTTCTCAGTGTCTCTGCTTTTACTGATTCAGCTTTGAGTTTAGAAGTTTTTCAGATGCCCAGTGCTTTGCAAGTTAAGTTTGATCTGGTTAGATGTTTGTGGCATATTGATAATCTGGATGACCCAGAGTAGGTCCCTTTGGTGTTTAGGTACCCAGAATTGTAGGTGTTAGTGACCTCCATCTAGACTAAGTCGACACCTTCTCTTCCTTCCCCTGCAGTTGTGGTTTGCCCTGGTTATAGCCCTGGAGTATCTGAGTTGGATCACGGTTTACCTGAATTTTTCTTATGCCTTGTATCGTGCGGCGCTGGCAGAGCCGCTTCAGCTTGCATACGGTATTGTTGTTCATCTGCGCCGTTTCGCAAGCTGTCTTGTGAGTTGTTTCACCTCCGGCCTGCTCGTGCTCCGCCTGAGCCGTCCTGGTCTTTGGACAGAGTGCTCTCTTTTCTTTCTTCTCCTTGGTTTGTTGTGGCCCCTTCGGTTCAGGATTGTTTCTCGAAGGCTCTTTTCTTGTTGGCAGTAGCCTCTGGGGGTCGGGTTGGTGAGCTTCATGCTCTCTTCCGGCGCAGGGGTTTCTGCTCTTTCGGTTGTAGCGATAGGTTTGTTTATATGCAGCCGTCTCCTTCTTTTCTGGCAAAGAATGAGACTGCTGCTTTCCGGAGGGGTCCTTGCGATATTGATGCTTGGTTGCTTAGGCCGGGGGTGCATCATGTTTTGTGTCCAGTTGCGGCCTTCCGCCGTTATTTGCGCGCCATGGCTTCTGTGTCCAGGAACGCCCTTTGCTACCGGTTTGCTTTGATCCGGTTTCCCTTCTTCCCTGTTCGCGGGTGCGGGTCTCCTAGGTCGTCCACAGGATTATTAAGGCTAGCCAGCCTGTGGTCTATCCCCGTGCCCATGACGTTCGCAAGTTCGCTGTTCTTGCCGCCGTCTTTGGCAACATGTCCTGGGCTGACATTCGGGCGCAGGGATTTTGGCGGTCGAACGGGGTCCTGGCTGCTTGTTATCTTGTGAATGTTCCTGGGCCTAGTCGGGCCTGTGTTGCGTTGGGTCGGTGGTTGCAGCCAGTTGTCTCGAATTCGAGTTGAGGAGTGAGCAGCGACCGCCTCCTGGGTAAGTCTCTCTAATTTTTCCTCTGTGAGTAATTAGCTTCGGGGAGCCAAAGGGGCTCCCCCCAGAAAACCAGCGTTGAATGTAGTGAAACGCCATTTTCTCTGTGAGACCCGGAGACTCCTGGCATCCCTCCCTCCCTCCGGTCGGCGATTTTTCACGTGTTTTGACATCCAGCCTCAGAACTGAAGGGTGGATAGCCGGCACGGGGGTCTGGGGTTCCACCCTTTCCCCCTTCCACCCCGGGGAGGGGGAAGCTGCGCAGACAGTGGCGTGGCGACGTGTGACGTCATGCTTGTTTGCTCATTTCTTTTAGGGGAGTTCTATCCACTTGTTCGGCTTTTGGTAGCAAAATTTTCACTAGAATAGGGGTTTGTTTTGGGATGCTTACATTTCTGGGTGCCTGACCCGGTCGATGGCAGACATAGAATGCTTCCAACCACATGGGGGTTTCTATAGGCCATTGCTCCCCATGCCTCTCTGAGGGGGCCAGGTTCTGGCTCGTGGTCCCTGGTAGGCCCACAGAACTCCATACACATGACTGATGCCGAAGTCTGACATTAGCATATCAGCCTAGTAAGCTCTAGGGAGCCTCAGGGTCTCACCCAGAAAATGGCGTTTCATTACATTCAACACTGGTTTTTTTTTTATTTCTTACTCATGTATAGCAATTCTCATCAGTAGTTTACATATTAATTTATTTTTTTAAGATTTATTTTGCAATTTTTAGTCTATAAATTTATTTTGAATCATATTTTGTAGTTCTTTAGATACATTATTCACACAATAACAAATTATTTATTTGATTTTCACAGCCAAAAGAAGAAAGTGAGAAGATTGTAGCAGATATTGGCCTGTATAGCAGTCAGCCAACAAGTTTACGGATTTTATCTACACGTCGCCGAGGCCGTAGACACAAGATTCATCAGATTAGGTCTCCAGAATCAAATACTATTGGGGCAATTAGAAAGATTCTTCCTAGACCACAGATACAAGTTTCAAACTTAAATGTTACCAGTGCTCCCCTAGCCATCTCTCACTGCCAGCCCACTTCCCTAGGTCCTCCAAAACAGATGCCAGAACTAGTGCCAGAACAACAGCCATCTGGCACTCAAAGCATTTCCCTTAAAACTGCTCCGCTACCGCAAGTAACAACCAACGTTGCCAGCATAGGGCGTAAACTTTTACCCAGATCACACAATCCGACTTCTATAGTCCAAGTTCAGCAGGCAGCATCCTTACAACAACTGCATTCTGTTAATACATCCACTGCACAACAAACTATTCCTCTTAATCAAATTCACTCTATTAGTCCAACAAATAATTGCAATATTATGCCAATTCGCCATTTGCAGTCTATGCCAAATACAAACCATGCTAATAATGTTCCACAGCTTAAAGCTGCAATATCAGGTCATAGTCAGAAAGCAATTGCTATTGCTCCTCAAAAGTCAACTGTTGCTACTGTTGTTAAGAACCCAATTTCTGTACCTGTACCACAACTGAAATTGGCTCCTGGTGTCACTTCTCGGGTTATCTCCACTCGGGTTATCTCTAGCTCTTCAGATAGTACCAAAAAGTGTGGACAAGTTCAGCAAACACAGTTGGCCAGTTCATGTCATGGACGTAAGCTTCTGCCACGCCCACAGCAGCAGCCAGCAATTAGACTACCTGGAATGGTTATCCATCCTCAACAACAATCTGTGTCCCTGCAACACCTGCAGAAAATCACCCCCGTCAGCATGCATCAGACTGTGCCGCTCCAGCAAATGCAGTCTATCCCAGCTTCTAGCCCACAGCATCCAGTGAATGTTCATCAGATGCAGAATGTTTGCTCAGTGTCTACACAACAGAATATTTCAATTCAACAGATTCAGTCTCTAAGTACAGTAAATGCTCAGCAAAATGTGGCACTTCATCCTTTGCAAAATGTTCCTTCAGTTACTACACAGTCAGTGCCCCTCCAGCCATTACAAGCCATACCATCCATTAGCTCTCAACACCTGCCTGTACAAAAATTTCAAACTATGCCAAGTGGAAACTTACACCAGACCATGCCTATACAACAGATACGTGCTGCACCATCACGAAATTCAAAAGTTGTCCCAGTGCAACAAGTATCAACCATACCACCTGGAAATTCACAAGCTATTCCCATGCAACAAGTATCAACCATACCACCTGGAAATTCACAAGCTATTCCCATGCAACAAGTATCAACCATACCACCTGGAAATTCACAAGCTATTTCTGTACAACAAGTATCAACCATACCATCTGGAAATTCACAAGCTATTCCCATGCAACAAGTATCAACCATACCACCTGAGAATTCACAAGCTATTCCCATGCAACAAGTATCATCCATACCATCTGGAAATTCACAAGCTATCCCAGCGCAACCAGTATCAACCATACCATCTGGAAATTCACAAGCTATCCCAATGCAACAAATATCGACCATACCATCTGGAAATTCACAAGCTATCCAGCTACACCAAGAACCTGCAGTGTCTTCTGGAATACCACAACAGCAAATGCCTCTACAACACTTGCATTCTGGAAGTTCTCAGCAAAGTATCAATCTACAAAATTTACAAATCATAACAACCAGAAGTTCACCACTAACTATACCAGTGCAGCAAGTGCAACAAGTTACCTCAGGGAATGCAAACCAAATTATGCCTGTACAACAACTCCAAGCGATTCCTTCAGCAAATAACTACCAGGCTACACCCTTCCAACAAGTGCAATCCAACACTACAGCAAGCACAGAGCAAGCAATGTCTCTTCAACAGTTCCACACAATGATTCCAACCAGTCAACAGCAAACAATGCCTCTTCAGCAGATGCAGATTATCCAGTCTACTTGCCCACAACAAGGTATATCACTTCAGCAGCTGCAGTCCATGACGCCTGCTACACAATCAGTTTTTCCCCTTCAGCAGTACAGCAACAGCAACTTATCTGTGCCTCTTCAACAAATGCAGACCCTCCCACATGCCGGTAATCAACAAACTTTGCCATTGCATCAATTAAATTCGGTTAATCCTGACATTTCACAGCATTCTTTGCCTCTTCAGCAGCTCCAATCAGTGCCTCAGTCAAAGGGAGACCAGAAAGTCTCTATCCAACAGCTGCAGTCAGTGAGCCATGGTAATACACAAACCAACCTTACACTGCAACAAATGCAAACGTCTTTGCCTTCTTCTAGCTCAAATCAAGCACCTCTCCAGTATATTCAGTCTGTTACTTCAACTGCCAGCCAAGACCTGCCCATTCACCAGCAGGTACAATCCATTAATAATGATAGTAGTTCAAATATGTCTAATGGTATAGAATTTCAGTCCATTGCTTCTTCCAGTCAGGACCAAACTACACCTCATCTTCAACAGCAGATGCAGCCTCCAGCTCCAAATGAAGTGCATCATGTTGCACCAGGTAAAACTTCAGTGAAAATACCAATAAAGTCTATCAGGACCAGTACCATCTTGGGAAAAAAGAAATTGAAAAGATTATGCCAGAATTTTGCACCTCGTTCTATCAACGAGATTAGACCTATTAAAAAGGTGGGTTCTGTAACTCCATATGCTGTTGCACATAATATAAAAATTCATAAGAAAATCTTTATTCCAAGAATAAATGATAAAGTAGTTCCTCTTCTTCCTCGGCCTGCTGCTGCGCCGAGACCTGGCCGCAGAATATTGCCTCGTCCGGAAGTACCAACTACGTCTAACTGTAACACGCTTGCCATCAGATTGAAAAATGTGCAACCTGCAACATCTACAACTAACTGTAAGATCTTACCAAAACCAAATTTACCTGTGTTAGTTCCAGGGCAGAATTGTATGTCAATACCTGAACTTGAATCAACAACAGCAAGTCTTACCCACAAAACTATTCTTGTTCAACGACTGCAATCATCTTCACATCAAGCAGCTGCAACTGACATTAATAGTAAAGACATAGCTTTAACAATATCAGAATCATCTATTAATGCTGATTGTAATTCTTTTCCCAGTGATAAAATATCTCATACTGAGGGTACTACTGATGTTACTCAGGTGTCAGGACAGTTGTTAACCTCTCCTAAACAATCGCCTCCACCAAGTCCTAAAGTAGAAACTTTTTATGATGTAGAAGTTACGGATACTTTTTATGAGCCTTCATTGCCTTCGGAGACAGGATCTCCAACTCCAGATACTAATCGTGAGTTCTCCCCCGTTCTTGATCAAGAATCAATGTTGTCAAATACAGTTGGTGAACGTGTTGCATTGCCCCAAGAAGAGTCTGTAGCCACTGATGACTGTATTGAAGATACATCCCATTTACAGCTTGAGGAAGATATTCCAAGAGCCATGTCCATCTCTCGGCAAGCTACAGATCCATATAGTGCTGAATGTACTCAACAGAATTATTTTCAGTCATCTTGTATTTCAAATGATCCTAGTGTTGACACACAGGAACAGTGTGATGCCTTCCAATTTAAATCTGAAGAGTATTTGCCCTCTACAGCTGAACAAATTAAGCCTGATATTACTCATCATTCTGTGCAGACTAATCAATCCAATTGCTTTACTGTCTCTACTGCAGGTCACAACAAACCCCAAGAGCATGTTTTGCTTGATAGTGATGTTTCTTCATCTGTTCCTGAAGAGGATGGTAATATATCTGAAACTGAATCTGAATGTGTTTTGCAAGAAAGGCACAATAATTCGATACTTGCCTCAACATATACTGCTCATCTTGGAGACAAACCTTCTGAAACACCTGATGTTGAACAGCATCTTGATCCACCAGACATTGCCAGTGATTCTGTTCAATTGATACAGCAAGACTGCCTCATCTCAGATGTATCAAGCGAGTTTAATCCCTCCCATTCTGGGCATTATTATTCTGCTAATTATGCATTATCTTCCTCACAACCATTGTACAGTACTGCAGCAAATGGAACTGAATCTCTTTCTACCCATTCTCAAGCTCATTCTATCCCTTGCATCATGGATAAATCACAGACTTCCTCTCAGCATGGATACCCGTTCCTTGAATCGTCTAATATTTGTGTCCCTACTCAGCCAGTGTCATATATTTTATATTTAAATACAAATACTCCAGTGACTTACACCAGTGCTGCGGAGGTCAAACCTTATCATCAAGTAGAATGTGCATCTAATAGCACCACTGGAAACACAGTGCCTAGTCATGAATTAAAGCATTCTGCTACTTGTTCAACAGAATTGTCTTACCCCACACAAGATGAATTATCTAGCACTAGAAATTTATCCCTTGTGCAGGAGCAATGCTCTTCCTTAGGCTCTGCTGATCTTTCTGTACCAGTCTCTCATCTTCAGGTTTTATCATCTTCTGATCAAAATAACTTGCCATTTCAACGTATTACTTCCGCCACATATAGTACAACATGCAGCTATAACCCAGCACCAGAAACTGGCATCAGTAGTGATAATTATTGGAGCAATGCTAGCAGTCCAAAGGTCATGGAAGAAATGAACTTCAGTCACCCTCAAAATGAAAACAATGTAAGTTAAAATTATTTGTCTTCATGATTTTATCACTTCCCTTTTTGTTTTCCCTGATCTCACATGACTCCTTTCTCCTACCTTTACTCTAATTCTTCTTTATAGGGTGGGGGGGCTTGTTGCTCCCTGAAGCTACTAGTATCTCTGATAGTGTGTCATATTACTAGGTGCTATCTATCAGTCGCTGGGCTTACCAGGAACCACAAGCTAGAACCTGCCTCCACCCCCCTTCTCAAAGAGGTGCCGGGAGCCATGACATTTATGGTAAAATTACTATGAATTTATTCATATTTGTCACCACCAAGGAAGGCACCCAGAAACAAACCACTGCTGGTTTCAAATAAGACCGCAGCCACAAGAACTGCCGAAGAACTCCTCGAACTATGTAAACAAACAATAGAAAGTTCATAAAACTAGCACCAGCTCATTTGACCCCCTTCCCCTTCCCCTTCTGTTTAGTGGGAGGAAGAAAGCAGCCATGGGTCAACCAGCTGCTCCATCCTCAGTTCTATTTTGATGGTAGTGAGTGTGAGGTGCCTTCTCCGTTACTCTGCTCTTCATAAATTTTTTATCATTTGTGTACATCATTTTAGTACTTTTTTGGCAGTTCTCAAAGCTGTGGTCTCATTTGAAACCAACAATGGCTTGTTTAGTTTCACTTACTTACTTAGTGACTTCCTGGTGGAAGGTGTTATTAATATTAATACTTTAACAATATTAACTCAAATTTTTCACTGTTTTACAGGAAGAGGCTCGGAATGTTTCAATGAGTGACCAGCAACAGGATGCACAAGTTAGTCCAGACAAATGTAAGCCGCTGGGAAGTGAAGTATTAGAAGAGGCAGAATGTGAAGAGGATTTGTTTGATTCTCAGTGTTTACACCCAGGGAGTGATCCCAACTCTCTCTTGTGTCTTAAAAAGTATTATATCCAAAAGAGAAGAAGAGAATTGGTGAAAATAAGTAAGCTGAAAGCCATGGTGATATCACAGAAAAATACAATTCAAGCTTTATGGAAAAAATTAAGTTTTGAGAAAAAGAGAAATGCAAAGTTATATGAGGAACTTTCAGTAAGTAGAGGCATTGAAATGGGCAACTTAGATAATTTTGAAGTCTCCAAATATAATAATGGGGAAGAAAAAAGGCAAATCAAAAGTAGTAGTAAGGTTAGTGTTACTTCGTCCCTCAGTAATAAGGCGAGTTATGCAACCAAGATTGAAAGATTAAGACAAAGAACAACTGATTCTGATATTAATTTTGCGACAGCACATAGTAGTACTAGCTCCTGTGCCTCAAAAGGTGAACTTCAGTGTCTTATTCATAGATTCATGATGCGTGATGATGTGTCCCAAGGAAACAAGAAGAACCCTTTACGCTACAGACGGCATTATCTCTCGGTGCTTCATAAACGTTTCATTGCTGATTGTTGTAAACAGTGTTCATTCAATGTATTCTGTAGTTACATTCCACATACTGTATTAAAGTGCAAGGCAGAAGAATTTGATGTGTGTGTGTGCATGACTTGTCAGAACCCTGAATTAAAAATAGAGAGCATGGTGAGGAGAAGATTTTTAAGTATCACCACAGACATTGAAGAAATACTTCTAGATAAAAAGGCATTTGACTTGTTAATCATGAACTTAAAATCCTTAAAGTCACGCCATGCTTTTTTAAATTATTCGGCGTGGGCTATGACTGCCTCTATAAGCAGCCCATCTGTTCCTCAGAAAAGAACAGCTACAAAGCCCCTGGTTCAAGTTACAGCATTGTTGGAAAAAGAGTTACATACCCTTAGGGATCACATAAAGTATATAATTCAGCAGTACGAGGATGTCTACGAAGCCAAATGTGATGCAAAATCATCACCGTACCATGCAGTTATTCAGACTGACTGGGCTCCTCTGATCATTTTGCATTCTGTTAGTGACAGTGGCATACCAGAGCCTCAGAGAGTTATTAGCCTCCAATGTGGGTATATGTGGTCAATGGCAGAATCAACTGGATTTGTGGCACTGTCTGACTCTAGAGAAAGAACATCTGCAGCAGTCTGTGCAAGTCTGAATAAGGTTCTTGCCAAATTAATAAATAATGGAGTAAAAGCCATAACATTTATTGTTGACCCACAACTGCATATTTCTGGAGTTTTTGAGTTTGCACGAAAACATGAAATTAAGGTTAAATTTATTTTTTTGGAACCAGGACATGATAGTGGAGTGGCCGTAGTAGTGGGCAACAGTATCACGCAGCTTATATGTGACACCATTAATGCTAATGGAAGTAGTGTTATTCGAACAGCAAGTGATGTTTTCAGTCTTATACGTTCTCATTCAAGTAATCTTGTGTACTTTTATACCATTGAGGAGATTTCCCAGCAAAAAGAACTGCTAAACTTGGACAAAATTTCTAAAAGCAGTAATATGCTTATAAAGCCAAAGATTTTAGTACCACATTAGTTTCAGAACTTGAAGGAAAGATATTGTTCTTTATTTTGTCCATAGTATCTTATTCAATAAAGGTGTGAAAATGTCATGCATTTTTATCCTGTCAGTTGCTAATATGGCAACCATGTAAAGGCTTAATCATAGATCATTGGTGAGCCTTGGCGTGTCCTTCACATCTGATAGCATGTCACTGAAGCTTAGTTATATCATCTCGAGCTCTGTGGTCAAGTGAGAGAGATATGGGTTACTGATTTGTGGTTACAAAAATAGAGGTGTGCTCTTGGTGCTCTGTCTTTATTTTATTTATAAATTATTTAAAGTTTCCTGTGGTTTTGTACTTGTAAAAAGTAATCAATCTTTATATGCCCTTCTGGCACCTGTTTCAACTAACTACCACTCTTCTCTTCATACATCCTTCTGGAGTCTCTTTCAACCAATTATCAATCTTCATACACCCTTATGGAGTCTGTTTCAACCAACTAAAACTATCCTTGTAAAGAAATTCCATACTTTGAAACATCTTTTGCACTTTTGTATCTGGGATATTTGAAATCCTTATTAAAGTACCACATAACTTTTGTAATCTTATTTTTGTGTTAATTTGAACTTATGGCCTCTTGCTAACCCTATTGATAATTTCAAACAATATTGTGTCTGTTTTCTCTTGTTCTATAAATATGCATGTGGTCATTGTATCGATTTGTTTGCAACCGTGTCCTTTTCTGGTGAAGAACGAATCTGTGGGCTTCCGGAGGTGTCCTTTGGTTATTACTGATGCTTAGTTGATTAAGCCAGGTTGCAGCATTTGTTGTCTGGTGGTGGTGGTTGGTTACTACTTGTGGACTACCGTCTCAGCCTCAGTGGGCAGTCTTTGGGTTGATCCAGTCTCCTTGGTTCCCTGTTCCAAGGCTCATGTTTCTCAGGTTGTCTAGAGTGTCATAAAGACTATTCAGTCTGTGGTGTGTCCCCGGGTCCATGATGTTCGCAAATACACTGGACTTGTGGCAGTCTTCTCTAATAAGTCATGGGCAGATATTCAGACTCGGGGGTTTTGGTGGACTAACAGGGTCTTGGGGGCCAGGTATTTAGTCAATGTCTCTGGTCCTCTTCTGTTCTATGTGGCCATGGGTCATATTTCCCGTCCACTTGTCTCTCATTTGCCTTAGTGCCTTCTACCTCTCCTCCTCCCTGGTAAGTCCCCTTTATTTTTTCTGTGGGTATTTAGCTACAAGGAACCACCAAGGGGCTACCCTAGAAACCCAGCTTTGAATGTAATGAAATGTCTCTTTCTAGTAGAGCCCTGGTGGCTCCCTGTCTCCCTCCCTCCCTTTTATCTTCATTGGTATGTGGCAATGTTATCTGCTCCTGAACTGATGTGTGGATGGATGCTGATCTGAGTGCCAGGCCACTTAGTGGCAGCATTCAGTACTTTAGGAGGTTTAAGTAATTTTGTGTTTGGCTTTTAGAATTACTTGGCTTTAGTGGTTTTGAGTCTTGGTAATTCAACTGTTGTATGTAAAGCTTCAATGACTTTCTGGATGCTTTCCCGGTGAAATCGCAGAATGTCATTTGCTTCCTGCACCTCGTGTGAAGGGGCCAGGTTTTGACTGGTCCCTAGTGGTCCCAATGAACTCGTGCAACAGATGTGACTGGTAGCAATCTTGGAGCAAACTTAGCGAGATAGCTACAGAGAGCCACCGGGGATCTAGCAGAAAGAGGCACCTCATTACCTGTACATTCATCTCTGGATTTTTAACTCTTTCATTCCATAGTGTTAGAAGTCCAACATTGATTATACTGTACCTCGTATTTAGCAAATCGGTAGTTAATTTGAATAACAAATTATGCACTCACATATGGCCTACCCATGTGTCGCTGAAATAGGAAATAAAGGTAAAAACGGACTTGCCGGCCGACCATGGTGATAAATGGTGCACGCAGCGTCTCTCCCATTGACATTTCAGGACCCATTGTTAGTTGGCAAGCATTCCGATCGCGTCGTTCTCCTGATCTTGGAGGGGGATCCAGGGGGTGTTTTCCTGGACAGTAAACATCATAGTAAGGCTAATAGATTGGAGGTGAAACGTCGCCAACATCCTGAGATACCCTGCGACCCTCCGCGGCCTTCATTTCCACACCCTCCACTTACTCAAGGTAGGACAAGTTCTCCTGGCCTACAAACGTTCATCATTGCATTTGATGCTGATCCGCCCGTTGATCGGAGTGTTTCTGGAAATAGCAGGGCACAAAGCCTCCTTTTATCATGCCATTCCCAAGTTCTTTAAGATCAAAGTGCACGATATCAGACCAAATAAATGCAGGAACTTGATTGTGGTGGACCACAATCATTCCGAGGACCTGGAGCTTTCAGACGTTATTGACATCTGTGGTTACAAAGTCCATTGTAGTAAACCTCTGGGTGACCGTTTGGTATGTTATGTGGTCCGGCATGTTGTTGACATTAGTGTTTACAACATCAAGGCGCAACTGCAGGATGCTGACATTCCAATCTTCGGTGTCAGGAAGTTTCTGCATAGGACTAATGGTGAACTGTGTGATACTGGCACTACCATCCTTACTTTTCTTGACTCCTTTCCCACAGATCGGGTTTGGATTAATGGGTTCCTCTATAAATTGGAGGTGTATGTCCCCCATCTCACTCAGTGCTTTTGTTGTAAAGGTTTTCACCATACTTCACAAGGTTGCACCAACGATGTCAAATGCGGCAAATGCTCTGGTTCCCATTATACTCGTGACTGTGTGTCTGATATGCTCTGTTGCCCCAACTGTGGTGGTGATCATGCCATCACCTTCAAGCAATGTCCTTCCTATGTAGAGGCGCTCACTAAGGCTCTCCCCGCCGTCACTCTGCCTTCCAGTCGTGCTTTGCTTCGTCCTGACTCGGTTCCTCATCACCCCCTGCTTCCCACTCTGCCACCGCCTTTGCTTGTGCCTGACCTGTCTGTCAGTGATGTTCCTCTCACCCCTGAGACCTCTTCTCTCCTGCACGCCGTACAACCGAGTCCCGATCTTGTTGACATTATTGTCACTCGTGTTGTGGATGCCCTCGAGAAGTCGCTGGTCCAACTCACTAAATTCTTATCACAGTCTGTCCTTTCCGTTCCTGAGGCTGACCCGACGCATCCCTCCTCTGCTCCTATGGTTGACATCCAACCTACTACAGCTGCCTCTGCTATCTCCAATGCGTTTGAAATGATGCTGGACAATGCCCTGCAGAACTCATTGGCACACCTTCCCCATGTCTCTCCCCAGGCTGCCTTGCCACAAATTTCTACCCCTGGTACTAAGAGGAAGCAATCCTCCATCGTCCCAACTTCCAAGCGCCCTGCCACCTTGCCTGACAGGCCCCATAAACCACACACTCCCATGACTTGTCCTCGTGCCTCTCCTAGGTTTTCCTCCCGTTGTTCTGCTGGTTGATGCATTTGCGTCCCAGCTGTAAGGCTCCGGATTCCGTTTACGAATCCTGCTCTGTCCTAATCTCACCTGTCCCATCCTGACTTCCTCTGACCTTTCTCTGCTCGCACCTCCCTTACTTTTTCATGCCTGCTTCTCACCTGCCTCCTACACATCTTTCGCCTCCCCCACTCCGTCTCTTGCCTACATCCCTCGCTTTCTTTATTGTGGTGATGCTTTGCATTCGCCTTCTGTTCTCCTCATTATTCCCATCCTGCGTCTCTTTCCTCTTGTTTGTTTCTTTTGCCTTTATCCTTGCCCACATGGACGGCATCGTGATCGTTGATGTGCCACTGTGCATTGTAGCATACGCATCTTTCTACATTACCACTCGTGCAGTCATTGGGAGGATACACCTTCATGCAAACTGCATGTATTGAGAAGAAGAGAAATAGTAAGTGGTAAAGTTTCTGGCTAAGTTTCGTACTGTCCACACAAAATTAACTCGTGGACAGCTAATGGAAAAAAAAAAAAAAGAGACTTGCACTGTACTGTACTGTACGCTTCCGCTACACATAAGGGGCATAACTGGCCGACCCCTCACAGTGTTCAAGAGAGAACTGGATAAGCACCTCCAAAGGATACCTGATCAACCAGGCTGTGACTCATACGTCAGGTTGCGAGCAGCCGCGTCCAACAGCCTGGTTGATCAGTCCAGCAACCAGGAGGCCTGGTCGACGACCGGGCCACGGGGACGCTAAGCCCCGGAAGCTCCTCAAGGTAACCTCAAGGTAGGTACTGTAAGAACTGTATTCCATGAGCAATCACTCGCCTCCGTGTAGAATGTCTTTGTTTTTCAGAATCGGAAACTGCTTTCCACACTTTTCCTTTGACTCTTGTTTCTAGATAAAAAATCTCATTTTGTCTTTATTTTCTCATACTGTCATCCTAAATGAATGAATGAATGATGTAAGTGTTTTATAACCATCTTGGCATAGTGCTTTCTTTTAACAATTCCTTAATTACTTTATACATTCCACTGTACATATTGATAAATCAATTGTGTGAAATATTACAATATTGTATGTAAATTTTATTAATTTTATTTATCCACATCATAATTTGACAGGTACTTGTAATAGTCTTCTAATACATATTTTTTAAGATTTATCATTAAATGTTAATCAATATTGTCTAAGATATCAGATGAGAAGTGCCTTATTGCAGGATATCATGTGGTCTTTTTGGATAAACATATAAAAATATTGGTTTATTATTGATTAAATCTATTGAAGAGGCTGACTTTTGCCAAGTAGGTTGACTTACACAATGGCATGAGTTGTTTAATGTTTCAATTTTCTTTTGCCAAGGAATGTTTTATTGTTACAAAGCATGAAAATGTATTTAAGTACATTTTCCTACAAAAAATTAGTAAAATTAAGTTATAAATAAATGATTTTATTAATGATGGGATAAAACAAAATCCTTGAGAATGCAATTTAATGTATTGTACATCATTAAATCTTCATATTAATGAAGCCAGCATGAATATTTGTCAAGGTGTGACTATGACATAACTACAGTACTAGCAATTGCATGAATTTTCTATAAAATTGGATCTGTACCATTCCAATTTACTGAAGCAGTTTTCCACTTGGTTCTGATACAATGCTCCAGCGGAGGGATAATGGTCAAATCATTCTCATCACCATTCAGATCTGGAAAAACAAATACAGGCTGTTAGAACCTGATAATATAGTTAAGAGAAGTTGAAAGCGTGAAAGGTTTGTGTACTCACCTAGTTGTGCCTGCGGGGGTTGAGCTCTGGCTCTTTGGTCCTGCCTCGCAACCGTCAATCAACTGATGTACAGATTCCTGAGCCTACTGGGCTCTATCATATCTACATTTGAAACTGTGTATGAAGTCAGCCTCCACCACATCACTTCCTAGTGCATTCCATTTACTAACTACTCTGACACTGAAAAAGTTCTTTCCAATGTCTCTGTGGCTCATTTGGGTACTCAGCTTCCACCTGTGTCCCCTTGTGCGTGTACCACCCGTGTTAAATAATCCATCCTTGTCTACCCTGTCAATTCTCCTGAGAATTTTGTATGTGGTGATCATGTCTCCCCGAGCTCTTCTGTTTTCCAGCGATGTGAGGTGCAGTTCACTCGTGTCGTGATACTGCTTTGCTCCACTAATAGTTACTCACCTCATAGAATGTCCTAATTTTCTGGATGATTAAAAATTTTGCTTTCCCAATGCTCCTTTGAGTCATTTGTTCCCCCGATGAATTTTTATGTGAATCTACCTCCTTTGCTGTGCTTATCCTACTTGCTCTCATATTTGCATCTTGAATGATTTGTAGAAGCTCTTGATTATTCTACTGTATTACAAGGTAACCAAAACAACATGGTAAATGCTCAATAATATAGCTACCTGTGAAGTTTATCAACATTTGGTTTGTTCCATGGGCCAATCTCCTCACCCAGTAGTACAGATATCTACATTTCTAGGAGGGGACCCCTTAGTAGCTCTGCAAGCTTAGCTAAACACGCCAGGTTTCAAAAACCCATCTTACCTGAGTTCACGTAAAGGCCATCATTTCTTTATTGGCCTCGATGGGAACAGGAAGCTGGTAGCACGTCCAAAAAAAAAAAAAAATAAGAGCCCCTATATTTCCTGATGATTTTTTCCAGCTGGATTTTGAATTGCATTATTATCTTGGCATTTATAGCTTTGGCATGTAGGTGGTTTTGTGAGTTTATAACCTTATGTGTGAAAACAAATTTTCTGTCTACATTGTGGCTTGTTGAGTTTGAAGTCATCGTTCCTAGTACAGTATGTGCCACACCTGACCTTTTAAAGAAGTGGCCTGGATTAACATCCTTCTGACTGTTCAGTATTGTAAAAGTTTTGATGAGATCAGCCCTGTCATTTGTGGTTAGAAGTGTTAGCTGTGTAGCCCTCAACCATTTTTAGTGTCAACATAGTTCCGGGATGATTTTTGTTGCCTAATGTTGAACTTTCTGCCCAGCAGATATGTCCACCTGAAGATGAGGTCATCATGCTTGGGTACAGTAGCCCAGATGGTGGTGTACTGGAGATGTGCACAGTTGAATAACCACCATCTTTTTCTCACTCTATAGAGTGGAGCTTGGGGATCCGAGTTCGACCCAAACCCAAGAAAAAATTCACCAGAAAGCATAAGTGCAACAAAATATGCAACTGCTTGAATGAAAGTAGACATCCTTAGGTGAACAGGGTAAACAATCATTGCTACAGAGTAAATACCTGAATGATTATGCACCTGACTGCCACTAGATGGCAGCCCAGGTCACCTGGGATCTTCTCAGTCAGCCTGCCCCCTTACTCTTCTGCCTGGTGCTGTAAACTCAACACCTGTTGTCTCTACAGGGCCTGTCCACAGCGGCTCACTTTCAGCTAGGGGTTTCCTGATTTGTTTATTTCAATTTTTGTGTTTATTTCACACAAAAGTGCATTTACCTTAGCAACCCATTTTGCTTTGGCCATTTATTTTCCCTGAGGCCTTCTTGAATTTCCCTATACCCCACCAGAGATACTGGTCTCAGGGGTTGTGGGCTTTTTCCTCTATTGAGTTTAATCATCTTGAGTCATTTCACTTCCAGCCAGTGCAAGAAACTTATTCTCCCCTACAGGCCTTTTGATTAGAAAAGAAAACCTTTGAACTGTGCGCATCAAAAAACCTGTTTATCGTGCTTGGCCATTCTCCTGGCTTATATAAGAGGTCTTGTACTTTAGTTGAGGGCATGCTTAGGTCACATAAGTGATATTTTTAACCCATTTGGTTGTTGGGCTTTGCACTGGCAACTCTTAGATTCAGTGAGCAGGTTAGTGGAGACCCTAGGTGGCCTAGGCTGCCATCTGGTGGTGGAAGGTGAAGCCATAACCATAAATTCATGGTTTTGGTATTTTTCTCATGTTAATGATCGTTTGCTCGACGCCTACTTTCCTAAGCTTTCTGATGGGTTTTTCTTGGTTTTGGGTCAATCTCTTAATTCTAAGCTCCCCTTTCCTTGTGGAATGAGTCAAATTCTGATATTGGATTACTGTATGTTAGGAAGCTACCGCAGGCGTACATGAAAGGGATGTTGCATTATTTTCAGCCCATGATTTATCCCATCTTAGCCCTTGGATGGGAATACTGCCTTATTAAATAACATTAGATATACTGATAACTCTAGGTTTATCAAGGAAGTACTACTGTAGAGACTTACCAATAGTAAGTCTTATCTCATCTTCTTGAAGTGCAAGCCCATCATAGTAATAGATGTCAAACTTGGAAACTGAAGGCGTGTCTGACGTCACAGATGTATCGCGGCTAAATAAGCAGCTGTAGTGACTCTCACAACATACCACCCATATTGGATATTGTGGACTCTTCAAGAAATTACCAACCTGTGGGAAAAAGCATCTGTATTTTAGCTCTAAATATCTATAATGCTATATGAAAGTTGATACGACTCAACTAGGAAAAAATTATCTCCTAAACATTCAGGTAAATAGCATGATTACACAGTAGGGCTCACTATTTGTGTACCCTCCTTAACCACTCAACTGTGCATCACAATCAGGAGATGGCTGACCAGTTGTGCATTGTGGATGATCACATTCACAGTTGTATTTAGGAACAGGGAATGACTTAAAACTTTCACGTGATAAATATGATATTCATATGCTGCCTCAGGCATTTAGTAAACATCAGCCATCTTGTATTTAAACATCAGCTATCTTAAAGGGTATTTAAGCCGTGTGTTATTGTTCTAGTTGCTTTTGCTTCTTCAATGACCTCTGTGGGCTGTTGGCCATATTGCAAATTGGTGACATTGCACATAGAGATGACCAGGAAAAAGTGAAGTTTGGCCATGCTGAGTACAAGTGAAAATAATGCATTATTCTTTAAATAGGTGCTATATGTATTGTTAAGTTAAATGCTGTGTAAACATGCACTGTAACCTATAGCTCTCACTGCTTCAGTTCCTAATTTCTAAATCTGTTACAAGCAAACCACAGTTAATCATTTTAAAAGGAATATTGAGGTATCATCAAAAGGTACCCGAATCACCAGTTTGTGACTGCTACATTGAATTACAAGCAGCAACAGTCTTAGTTATCAATCATACTCTCACAAGGTAAAACAGTCTTAGTTATCAATCATACTCTCACAAGGTAAGCCTAACTCTCAAAAAATTGAGAGCTCCTCTATACTGTACTTTTAGTCGAAGTATAGAGGAGCTCTCAATTTCTTTTTAATGTAGCCTATATTTTTTATTTTTAAAGATATTCTTGAAAGTTGAACATATTTTAGCAATTTTTATCAAATATACTTACCCAAAGTTATTGAACCTACCTTGAAACAATCATAATGTTCAAAAAGTGATAAGAGACCAATTTCTGATTTATGAGTGATGCCATGAAGTACAACTGACTCGCTAGCTGTATTTCCTAATATCTGATCTCCGTCAAAAGTATTGGTGAAAGCTTTTCCAGTCAGAAGGAGATTTACTATTTCTTGGGAAGAGTATCCATGTGCATTTATAAGATGTCCTCCATCAGAGTCCATATCAGCTTGAATGCTAAAAAGGAAATTACATATATGTACATTATATTTATATTATAATATAAGGACTAATACAAATACAAAAACCTTGATTCAATGAACCTCAATTCGGCAACTCTCCAGCTGGAACACAGTTTCCAGGCCAGATTTACTCATCTGATTCCACGAATTCTTGTTCGTTGAAGCAAGGGATGTGCAGATTTGATTAGGATGTTGGACAGTTCACAGACTGGTGGAAAACTTGTGCATCATTTCATAGGTTTCATTTCATAGATTTTTCATAGGTTTCATTTCATACAGGATGGTAACTCTGTTGATGTGGTTCCAATCATGTTTTTAATGATTTTTGTAGATTAGCGCAACATTAGTAGAATGAGTTATGGCCTTGGGAAAGCCATTCACCACATTTAAAACCAAATTTTGTGGTTCGTTTTCATTTTGAGATTACCAGATTTTTGTTCAGAAATATGAGCCTGTTTCTCTGAAAATGAGGTTTTGGGGCAAGGGCGTGGGAAATATGCTAGATGTGGTTAAAATCTCTACAAATAGATTCTCTTGGTAGCTGCCCTTCATATGATGGGTTGAAATTAAAAATTCGCTCACTTAGATCAGCCCAAAGAACATGGGAAACTCTTCTTTCTTTGGGCATGAATGGTAACTCTGTTAATATGGCTCCAATTACGTTTTTAATGATTTTCATAGATGAGCAAAGCATTAAAAAAAAGGGCCTAGGGGAAGCTATTGGACACACTTAAAACCAAATTTTATAGTTCATTTTTATTTTGAGATTCCCCACATTCATAAATATGGGCCTCCTGGAGCCATCTCTGGTTGCAATGAATTGGGATTGGTTCCATATAGTTTATTGAATTGAGGTTACACTGCACATTTGAAAGAAATTTGAATTATTAAATATGACCCAAACCTGTGACCTTCCCACTATGTTGACCAAACCACACACTAAAAAATGAAGAGACGACAACGTTTCGGTCCATCCTGGATCATTATCAAGTTGATTGTGATAATGAGTGTGACCATTATCACAATCAACATGATAATGGGTCAGGATGGCTCGAAACGTCGTCGTTCTTCATTTTCTAGTGTGGGGTTTGGTCAACTTTTTCAGCCATGTTATTGTGATTCTTCATCTTCCTACTATCACTGAAATAGAAAGTGGGGAATGTCTTTGGTTCTCTTATGTGCATACAGGCCACACAAGAACTCATGGGCACTCAGTGGAACATAGACTTGCACCTTATTGTTAGAACTATATTGGTCTGTGAGCAGGCTCGCACTGCCAGAATATCCTGATTTTCGGGATGATCTTTGCATGTTGCTTTCCCAGTGGTTTTTTGAGCTTATGTCTCGATTTTCACTCGTTGGTGACTCTGACTTCTTTGACATTTCTCATTGTATGTATTTCTTTTCTTGTACTGACATCTTGAGTGATATCAAAGAACTCTTAAATTATGCTGTAATACTGACAGCATTATATAGCCTTCCTGGCCTAATGCTTTCATCTGATAATTACTTAAAAATACATTTGATAAAATCTGTTCACTGAGAAGAATTGTATCATACAGTAATTCCAAAGAGAAAAGGTATGTCATGGAATGAGTCATTACTCGGAAGCAAATAGGAACATTGCCTTACCAAAAGTACTTGTGTTTAACAAATTTACTCTCATAATTTTTCAGCATATTTCAAACAACAGTTGATAGTGGAAAGGACTGCAACATTCTTTACTTTATCTTTGACACTGTGCCTCATGAAAAACAGTTGAAAGATAGAAGTGCATAGCACTGGGCAGATTGTCCTAAGTTCGATAATGGCAAAATGATTATTTAAAAGAAAGAGAGGTTTAACATAAATGGGGAAACTGTTGTAAGTGGCATGCCCAAAGGCTCTGTCCTGGGATCTCTGTTGTTTACTATGCTATATATAACTGGAGGGTTTACAGAAAATTAAACCTCAAATAAACCACCAAAGAAATACCAGAAACAGTTACATGGGACAAGGGATTCACTCAAACGAGCTTGAAACTCATTAGTACCAATTACCACCACCAGGTGGCCTGACCCCAGCTCTCAGCTGGCTCCCCCACATCAATTCTGGACCTGATGAACATATCCACAATGAACTGAAGAACCTGGAGGGTGGGGGAGGCAAGGAATGTAATGACATTACAATTTTTGGAGGAAATTGGCATTTCAGGTTGTCTAATATCTCTACATGTTGGTATAAAAATATTAGCTGCTTTTTTTTTTATATATCTCTGATTCATTTGTCTCTGTTTCCATCTATGCTCTCTTCTTTCTGTAGATTCAAGCTTTGAACAATGATGCTCTTTCTACAGAGTCAATTTACATTAAAATGAAAATAACATTTCATTCACTTGGGCACTAGGAGCCTCCAACCATCAACCCCAGGCATTGGAAACAGTGGAAATGCAAGCCAAGTTTTAAGAAAGAGAGCCCTGCCTCACAGTTGGATTGAAATACAAAGCATGGAATGTGGGTGGTATAAAAGATTGTAATATCTAGGGATCGCCAATATCTCTTGACAGAAGTTTGAAGCACAGAGACAGAGAGAGAGAGAGACACACACACACAGAGAGACAGAGACAGAGAGACACACACACACACACACACACACACACACACACATACTTATCAGAAATTATGTGCCTCTGAGGGTGCAACCAGGTAGGTGAATAAAGGGAAGGGCTAACTTGGACCCCTGGGTGACCTAGTGTGCCACCTTGTGAAGGTGAGACATAACATGGTTAGTGTTTACACAGTGGCAATGATCACTGTGTTTACACAGTGGCAATGATCACTGTGTTTACACAGTGGCAATGATCACTGTGTTTACACAGTGGCAATGATCACTGTGTTTACACAGTGGCAATGATTGTTTGCCTTCTTACCTGAGGGGTACCTAATTTTGTTCAAGTTGTGGCTTGTTTGTTTCACTTTTACTTTCTTGTGAGGGTTTTTTTCCTCTATTTTTAGAAAGATTTCTGAACCCAAAGCTCCCTTTGCCTCATAGCGGCAGATTCTGGTACTGGTTCCCAGTGGGCAATGGTTGGTCTCAGAGGCCTGGTGCATCTCCCTAAGGTTTAGCAGGGCCAGCTTGGGGGAACTACTGAGAAGTCCCAAAAATACTCTTAAACAACTAACTGATTACAAAAAGTCTCCAAAACTTACTTTTCCATTCCTCTGGTAAATATAAGAGAGTACAGGAGAATGACACAGCCTGAACTGTTCTCTGAGGTAAAAGCAGAGATGTGCCGAGTGACGGCATCATACAGGTCTCTCAGCTCTACAAACTCATGCAAAGTAAGATTCTCTGTCATTCCATCCTGACTGTAGCGACCAATGCCATGCTCCGTAAAATGAGCAAAAGAACCAGGCCTGCAGATTTAAAAAAAATTGTTATTATTATAATGTAACAAAGGTACTTTAAAGTATATCTACATGTCATATAGTATACCAATATCTGTCTTCTTGTCTGTCCAAAACTGGAAGCCAAAAGCTTGGGGCTATCATTACCCAAATTTGTAGGGGAAATGGTCTGGGGTACGGGATGAACATAGGCTGGTCAAGGCCGCCAGAATTCAAATGGGAACAGCATGCCAGGGGTAACATTCATAACACATGATGATTTTTGGCACTGCCCACTGGCTATATAGCTAAACATTTTGAAAGCAAACATTTCAAAATAATCTTCTTTTCTTATAGTAATATATGTCATTTTTTACTGATCTCAGGGAAAATTAACAAAGTTCTTGCTAGCTATAATTTTCCCATAGTCACATAAAACAAATGATCCTTGTGCAGTGTCAAAGGTTTGCCATGCTCTGCCTCTTTCTTAATGGTAATGGGGTCACTATTTTATTGTTTAAATATTTCACACGACAATAATAGGACTGAAAATATTTCACTACTATTTCTGTAGTAATAGTAGTAAATAGTACCTAGTGAAACATTTCACTAAGCTCCTCCAACCGGCAACCACCCAGATGGCAAGAGTAAAAATTTTAATTAATTTTTTTTATAAGAGAGACAGAGACAGATGGAGAGAGACAGACAAATATGCAGACAGACAGACAGAGATGAACAGATAGATGGGTAGATAGATTGAGAGATAGATAGATATGGATACAGATGGACAGACAGATAGATGGATGGCTGGATGGACATATGTATAGACAGATGAATGGAGGGAAAGATAAATGGTAGAAAGACAGATAGATAGATATATGATTAAATGGATAGATATATAAATAGATGGATGGATAGCTGTATAGATAGATGGATAAATGGTGTAACTGATAGACGGATGAATGAATAGCTGGAGAGAAATGGATAGATGATACATAGATGGATAGATAGATGTCTTACCTTAATGTTTATTCTTGCTATTAATACTGTCATTGCCTCCCTTACATTTAGTGATTTGAAGACCCTATTTGTTGATGATTTAAGCAATTATTGTTATGAGATTGACTTCCCTCAGCTGCACTCATCAAACAGCAAGAAGTAATGTCGCCTACCTAGAATTTCTAATAAATGGTTATCAGAGAAAATGCTTATAACCAGTTATAATAGTATATTATAGGAACTAATAATTAGACTGGCAGCTAGAGCAAAAAGCAAATACACTCTTCAGTCAAAATGATTCTAAGGTAGGAGAGTGAAAGGCCTACAATGTGTTCACAGGATGGAATATCATTAGTTAACTTACATTGCCAGCACTGCTCTCTGTTCCTGGCCAGCTTTCCAGAGAATCTCGGTAATTGCTACTCCTAAGGCCCACAACCACTCCCTCTGTGATGGCCGTAGAGGACTTATAGGGCTCGTGTTGGGAGCCACACTTGTACCAAAAATTAAGCACTTCATTATATATGCCTGGACACATGCCAACACACCACATGGTCCACCCTGCAAGCAAGAACATACCTTCAGTAACTTACTCATGATGTAAGCTTATCAGCTGCAAGTACTATTTCTAAGTAAGTCATTCCTTAACAGTTTCCATTATTTTATATCTATATTAGTTGCTTATTTGTTAACAGTAGATATCTTAATTCCTTATCCAGCGTGTCATATGTAACTTAAGACATTACTTTAGTAGTACAATAATTTCAAATATATATTTAACCCTTAGACAGCAGCTATGGAGAAATGGTCATACAGTACCTGCCTATGCAAAAAAAATAAAAATGTAAGAAAAACACAAAAATGAGTGAATATTTATCATTTCCCTGGACGGAGGCACTCTCGAAGGGTGTGTGTGTGTTGGGTGTATATGGCGCCTGTCAACACCCCGTGCCAGACTCTGCTGATGCTTCCTTTGTAATCCTTGGGTGTTTCCATGAGTGTTTATCACTTTCTCTTCATTTACTCTTTTTACAAGAGTAAATGTGTTGAATAACTTGATCACATAATACAATTGTTTCAATAACATGTTTCAACTGATGATTAGTTTACCTGGTATGACTCCATTACAACCATAGAGAGTAGTGAAAAAGATATGAACATTATGGTGTTGGGCGCTGAGCAATGACATATGGCCAAATTAGCCGAATATGGGTGAAAGTAGACTGAAAAAAAGGCGTAAGCCACCAATGCGGCACCCACATTGTGTGCTAACAGAGTGGTAGATGGTTGGAACAAGTTAGGCGAGAAAGTGTTGGAGGTCAAAACTGTCAGTAGTTTCAAAGCGTTATACAACAAAGAGTACTGGGAAGACGGGACACCACAAGCATAGCTCTCATCCTGTAACTACACTTAGGTAATTATACTTACGTAATTACATATGACGACAGACTCCTCCTAGTACAAGTTATCATGAAATAGTCGCAGGATTTTTTCACGAGTCAAAGTAAACTCCATTACATCCACAGAGCTATTATATAGCACTGGTGGGTCCCAGTAGTACAATTGGGTTGGTTCTCAACTCACAATCAAGAATTCTGGGTTCGAATCACGGGCAGGACAGAAGTGGTTGGGCCCATTTCCTATCACCTAATGCATTTGTTCACCTAGCAGTAAGTAGGCACTCAGAAGATAGCTTGTTGTGGGGTTGCATCCTGGGCGGGGTCGGTAATTTGACCTAGGAGGGGACCTTGATATAAGCGTAAAGTGTATGAATACACTCTGGCTGCCTATCCCCCAACAGTGTAATATAATTATTATATCCATATTTGCATCATACATGTTAAACCCAGACAGTAATTATTTAAATCTTCATATGACGATGACCGGGCAGCCGGTCGGCCGAGCGGACAGCACGCTGAACTTGTGATCCTGTGGTCCTGGGTTCAATCCCAGGCGCCGGCGAGAAACAATGGGCAGAGTTTCTTTCACCCTATGCCCCTGTTACCTAGCAGTAAAATAGGTACCTGGGTGTTAGTCAGCTGTCACGGGCTGCTTCCTGGGGGTGGAGGCCTAGTCGAGGACCGGGCCGTGGGGACACTAAAAAGCCCCGAAATCATCTCAAGATAACCTCAAGAATGACCCCATTCCCCTAGTAATATTCATGATAATCACATTCACCTAGTACATTTAACCATAAAATGGTAGCAACATTTTTTCGTGGGTCAAGGTAAACTCCAATACATCCACATAGCTATTATATCCATATTTGCATCATACATGTAAAACCTAGACAAACAATGTTAAAATCGTCATATGACGATAACCGCATTACCCCATAAATCAATGAATGACGATAAATGCTGTCTAAGGGTTAAAGCAATAGATCATAAACGTCAAGATTAATTTCACAGTACAGTACTACAACATATTCATCCATGCAAATAATAAATGCAATTGACTCTATGGTAGATTAATTAAAATTTCATAAAATAATATACTGTATTTACCTTCTTTTGAATAAGTCCATATGATAAATTTGGATTGGAATTTTGTTTAAAGTTTTGAGACAACCATTCAGTTGGAAGAGGCTGCGCAGGACTTCCAGTAAGGATACTTCTTAGGTGGCTAGCTTCGTCCAAGGTGATGGGTCTTCCTGATGATTCCTTGCATATATTTTCTGGTCCTAAAACAAGCCCTGCAACTTTGTTATCAATATCATCAATATCTTTCAACATCATCTCTCCATCATCGTCATCATCACTTAAATGAGTCTTAGAAAGTCTGTGACTTCTCTTTCTTCTAGATTTTGTATTAAGTTTATACGTTTCTCTCCCCTTATCTTGGTGTCCCGAATCAATAGCTCTTTTGTTTCTCCTTTTCTTATGTTTTCGCTTACTGGTGCTTCCTCCATCACCTGCAGCTCCTGAAGCATCCATGAAGCCCTGCAGGTTGAGGATTTGTATATCTTCACGGGAATTTGGAATTAATTTTTGCAGGTTCTTTCTTTTTGCGGTAATATAACCTTGTTCAGCAATGAGATATCTGTCACCTTCCGGACTAGCTTCGCCCATACTTAATCTAGAGCTTGTATTGGACTCCAAACTTGCATAATTACCATCTAAGAGACTTTGTTTAGAGCCCCTCAGACTCTGTCTCCTCATAGATTGGGCCATTATGTCACCAAATCTAGCGGCATTTAGATAATCCCCATGTGGTCTCAAACCAATCCCCACCAAACCCGCTTGTAGAGCACGGACTTGGCTACTAATATCAGCCCCACTCCTTTTTACTACAAGATTTCCAAGCACATCACTGTTATTATCATTCTCCACACTTTCAGTGGATGGAAATTCAATATCTTGAGATTCGTGGTCTCCAAGTATGGATTCACTACGTTGTTTGGTAAGAGTCATTCTCCGGTTGGCACTCCTGGAATGTGATTCCTCCTGAAAAATTAAAAAGCAGCTAAGTTCACTAGATATTAATGAAACTAGTGATAACATTATATTGTAATCTGAATCTTAAATTCAAATACCTGTACAGTACTAGTCAAATAAGTTAACTGATCTTATGTTCTCATCTGAAGGTACATTCAATATTGAGTGACTAGTAAAAAATTGAGCTAAATTTACACATCCATAAAATACATTTACATAAATACTGTACATAGATAAAATAATTTATACATAGATAAAATATATTTTTAGGGTCATGTGTAGGAAACAAATACTGTACAGTAGTTACTCAACTCCAAATGTTTATAGAGACCATCCTTGAGAAACCATGTAAAATAAGCATTATGTACTGTACTATTTACATTTCATCAGGACAAGTTAAATTTACTTTACAATATTATGCAAAAATTACAAAAATAAAAATGATGCATGAACATTTTCACATACATTTAAATTACACCAAATGATGTTAAAAAACACATTAATAATAATAGCACATTATATGATGCAAAGGAAATATGGGTTTCAAATTTCCTGCCAATAAACTGAAATATTGCTAAGACAAACAATGAAGTCTTAAAAAAATAGAAAATAACTAACAGTAGTCTGAGCAAGTCAGGAAAAACTATAATACTTCAGCAACAGTCTGAGCTAGTCAGCCAAAAACATATTTCAGCAAGTGTTTTTGTGATCCAGCAAAGGCCTCTGTTGCAAGAAAGGGGAGAGTTTCCTTGGAACAAGCAAACCTTTATGTCGGTACCGTAAAATGCTCACAGTATTAATTAACAGTTTCGCAAATGTTTGATTTGGAACAAAAGTTCTAGTCAAATTTTTCTATGTACAATTTTTATATTGTAAACACTTTACAAGGTGTACATTTAATGGGGAAACATGTTAACATGATAATACTAATATAATTAGAGGCTCCCCTTGCCTCTCTAGAGGGAGCCAGGTTCTGGCTCGTGGTCCCCGGTAGGCCCATATGAACTCCATACACATGACTGATGTCAAAGTCTGACATTAGCATATCAGCCTATTAAGCTCCGGGGAGCTGTAGGGGCTCCCCCCAGAAATGAAAAATAAATCGACAAAGTTATTCCCATGCTGCACCTCACATAATTTTTACCCAAAGAACGCAACTTTTCTGGGCCATTACCACAAGAGATCGAAACTTTTTACTAAGATTTTTTTGGCTACTGGATGCCACTTTACAATGTCAAATGGAAAGATAATTTTTTCAGAACAATTTTTTTGTGCACACCACAGAAGTGTCACATTTAACATGTGTGCAGTGTAGGGGTAAAGCAACGTTTGGTCTCAAGAGTCCTGGTTCACCTTCAGAGGCTAAGCTAGACCAGCACTTAGCTTAGTGAGCTACTGAGGAGGCCCTGTCAGTAAAGCATATCTAGTTTGTTATTGTATGGTACATTATTAGTTTATTAAGTTAGTCATATTACTAAATAAGTCATGGTACAGTATCCAAGATAGAGCTGAATTAAGTCACATGGACAGTAAAATAACTCTGTGAGAGGAGTTAATGGTCACATAGCTGGTTAGTGATATTGCTTTGATATTAGCCCCCATGCCAGAACTATTTTTAATGACATACCTCCTTGCTCATAACTGGTGCCATCATTCCACGTATATTCCTTGCACCTCTCAACTGGTCTCGTTGCGCGGCCACACTTGCTATATCGACATCAGCCTCACTATCAAACACGCTTCTGCCCTGAATATCGAAAGGAACCGAGCCATTGTGCACAATGGCATTCCTAAAAGTATGGCCATTTATGGAGCCATTTGAAATGTAACCATTGTTGTTTGACTTCAGAGGATTGATGGAATTATTTTGCAGCTGTAAAAAGGAAAAATAATGAATTGTGAAATTTCTAAAAAAACTATTTAGAATTCAATAACATGCAGAAGCAGCAATGATAATACAAATGATGAAATAAGATCATTGTATTGGACTGTACATTGTAATCATATAGTGCGTGTAATTACTTAAGTGGCTTCAAAAGCTTCAATAATACTCAACTAATAATATACTTGCTTGGAATTGGACACATTTCCTATGCTAACATATCTACACCGAGAGAAATTTGTCACGCCAAAACATGAGAATTTTTTGTATTTATCCTGTACAGTACTTCAACAGTACAGCAATTAAACATGAGATGATGTGCTGCCAATGTCCAAATGTTTGCACATACAGGTGTTACTGGAGTACAGTATTCCACAGATTAGTCTCACCTGGGTGTTAGAGCGGTAAGTCCGAAGCGGGCTGTCTAGAATTTGACTGGTGTTGAGGGTGGATCCGCGGGTGTTGAGCTGCAGCAGATCTGGTGACCTCTTGTCGCTCTCTCCGCTGCTGCCACTTCCTGCTCTGCCATGACGGAGGATACCTCCCGTAATCCCTCCATCGCGGGAGTTTTCTTGCAGCCACAAGAGATGCTGGGAGGTGAGTGTTGACTCCTGCGTGCTTGGGCGGGACAGTGTTCCCACTCCCAGGCGGGACGGGGCAGCCGAACCCACCTCTTCTGTGAAGGAGAAAATGTTGTGTTAAAACAGAAAACAAAAACCAACCAGTATAAATGGTAACAAAATAGAATATGAAACAATGGATATAGATTAAAGAATTTTAGATTTATAAAGGACATAGGCAATGACAAATATTCAAAGATAGATTACAATTATGGAATCCCAAGGTCAAGGATGGTGACATTCTAGACTACCCACAAGCAGACTATCAAGAAATGAGAGAAATGTTGCAAAACACCTCCTGGGGGGAGCTAAATGGAGATGAAAGCATAGAAGTATTATGGGAAAACTTCAAAAAGGTCATCACTGAACTTGTTCAACAATATACTTGATTTTACCTGAGGAATACTAACACTCTAGTTGCCTCAACGAGTACAGGAAGCCGGTAGCTTGTCAAAGATCCCCCTATTTGTTCTGATGATTTTTTCTAGCTTGATTTTAAAAGTCAACAAAGTTTTGGCATTTATGGCTTCTTTCTTTCTTTTTTTCCCTTAAAGTCAAAGGAATAATTGATTTTTCCTAGGGTTTGATTAGCTTCTTTTACTGCCGCTCCCAATTGTTGTGCAACTTTCACAGAGTGATGGATCCTGACTCCAAGATCATTTTCTTCATCAATCTGTTGCAAGGTAAAGTTGATAATTTGGTAGTTGTGATGTGGGTTGTTATGCCGCACATGCAAGGTCTTGCATTTTTCGATATTAAGAAGCATTTGCCAGAATTCTGACCATTTGTGGAGCTCATGTAATTACCTAAGTGTAGTTACAGGATGAGAGCGGTCCATAGAATTACCCCAATCACCCAAATCAGGCCAAAACTACCCAAAACGTATTAGCATTACGTAAGTAATGAAGAAATATGGTATATTTACTTACTATAATGTTGGTGCTACACGTAGAACATGATCAAACATAGTTTTTCTCTGAAATAATCTAATTTCATAACGAAATGAGACGTAAATATGTGAGAGGTGACGCCATAGGAAGTCGACGGTCCAAGCGACAATTGTGTGGAGCGACTTATCCAAGAAATATGGTCGCCAGGAGAGTGTTTGCTGCCATATCAGCCTCCTGTACACAGTGATCCAGTCCTTTTCGTTCATTGAACACCGAACCCTACACGCCCTCTGATATATTGCTTAATTAACAAATATTCACAAATAAAGATTATATTTGTATATGTTATCAGAAAGGCAGATATAAAATAGTTTTTGTGAATCCATCACAGAGATTATACCTTATTAGAGAGGAAAAATATTCATACTTTAAACAAGGCTTCATGGCCGACGCTCTCCTTACCGATATGGGAACTATGACCTTCCGAAGATCAATGTTAATTTAATCTCGATATTGTAATAAACGAAGTTTTCTATGTCATCATAAAGACATAAATATAAGCTGCATGTTAATACTTTGGCATAAATATAACTGAATTGAAAGTTAAGATATATGCCTTTTTATAGTTACTTGATGGCTCGCTCAGGGAGTGTGAAGGCCTCCACACAAGCCAATCAATTTTATAATTACTTTGCATATATGCAAAGTAACGCCATAGGTCTTTATGTCAGAATAAAGCCATGTAGACGATAATGTAACTACATTTCAAGGAAAACATATCTTAATATAAATATTAAATGAATGTAAAGTTATGGTTAAATAAATAGCTAATACCACACAATCGCAGGTGTCTGGACACATGAATAGTCGCATTAGGTGAAAGGAAATGTACCCAACCATTTCCATTTACCCAACCAGTTTGTGCACCCTATACTCATCCTCTGTGCGGTAATTTATTGTGCATCCCATACTCATCTTGTTACCAGTAGTTTGTGCAACCCATACTCATCCTGTGACCCGTAATTTATTGTGCATCCCATACTCATCCTGTTACCGGTAGTTTGTGCAGCCCATACCCATCCTGTGACCTGTAATTTATTGTGCAACCCATACTTATCCTGTGACCTGTAGTTTATTGTGCAGCTAATACTCATTCTGTGAGTCATAGGACATTGCGCAACCCTTTCTCATCGTGTGAATCTTTGTTTACTTTGCTCTCCATATTCATCCTCTGCGCGATAGTTTCTTGTGCAACCCATACCCATGATGTGAGTGGTAGTTTATTGTGTACCCTATATTCATCCTGTGAGTATAGGGTTCACAATTCTTGTTTGGATTCTTGTAATGTTATTTGTCTATTTGTAGTCACAGTATTTGTGCGCCCCTTGAGGGACTTGAATTAGAGGGGGGTTGACATAGCCTAAGCTACTCTATCCCTTTGAGATTTATTTATTGCTTATCTCAATAAACATACTTGAACTTGGGTACACAATGAGTTCATTTGTACTCCATACTCATCATCAAGAAGTGTATTTTACCAGCATTGTAATATAAATTAAGAATAAAAGCTTAACTGGATTACAGACCCATAATCAAAATAAGAGTCATCACTAATTATCATGACAAATTCTCTAGGCTACACTTCCGCCTTCGACAAGCTGCCGCCGGATGTGGGTATAGTTTATTGTACACCCCCGCACCCCCAGTCCTGGAAGGGCGGGCATTGGGATGTGGACATGTGTACCATTATTCCCCCCCCCCCCCCACACACACACACACTCGATCCTCTCCTGTTAATAATAATACTAATAATAATAAAAATTAAAAATAATAACGTTAATAAATATTATAATTAAAACACTTACTGTAATACCCTAGTGCTTGAATGAAGGTGAAGGAAAGACCCAATAAATGTGTAAGTGTATTAAAAACCAAATTTTCGTTGGGTGAGCTGGCAGGTGAGCACCACTTGCCAGCTCACCCAGTAATGAACATCACCTGCACACTGCACCGAACCACTTGCCAGCAGGTGCAGAAGTACGATGGAGAGAGCAAAGTATACCATATTTCAAGTATAATATTAAAGATATATTTAGGATTTAATGTTTTCGTATAAAGTTTCAATAATACCTTTATTTGATTTTTTTGTATTATTTTCTACCACAGACGTGGCCACACATTAACAATGCTAACCATCATATATACATTTTCTTCAGTCCGCCATGGACTCTAACCCTTTCCACTACCGCCCACAAGATGGGTATAGGGTGCATAATATAAGAACTAAACTAACTCCATTGATAGGGTTAGAGATTTGTTAAACATATAGTTCAGGGATTTATTGAACAATCAACCACATAAGGTGATTGTAGTGTTTTTAAAATGCTAGGCTAAGCTACATAGCTACATACGTAAATACATAAATACACAGATTTACGTATGCCCTACATAAAGTGTTCGATGTGTCTTTTACATAGTGTCATTAACGTGCATTTACAAAGGTGAAATTGAATTCTGAACACATACATACACATATATTTGTCTCTTTTACTCTGACAAGGTGAGATAACTGATAGAGAAACTAGTGTGCAATTAAGCACTTAATCACTGAAGGTGATTAAGGTGCTTTCACAAGCTCAGGTTATAGAGTTACATCACATACATTCATTGTATAATTGATACGTTACATCGTCAATCTAGGGTACAAGTTCAATATATCATCAAGTGTTCCAGTACTCAAATAGTAATTACACAGTTTAGCATAGCGCTTCATTCATGTATGTAAGAGAGAAGATTGTTCAAATATATTACATGCACATCCGGTACATCGTCCACCTTCTTCTACAGAACCGTCGGTATAGCACTGATACACATCGTTACCCATACTCTGAGTACTTTCAGTGATGCTTCACAGTGTTAACTGTTTTAATAATGTAGAGTGTACATTATCTTTCTTGGGTGCATTTACAAAATCAACTGCTAGATCCAAGTTATCCCATGGAGTAATTGGTTGATTAATCGTTAATTGAGTTGGGTACACATTTAATATTTTGATGGAGTTGGCTACCTTGTAGAACCAAAATGCATTCACGCCGAAAACTGTGCTAATAGACAAAATTATGTTAGAGATATGGGTCTATAATTATCTGAGTGTGCTTTGGGGATGGGAACAATGACACTGTCCAATCATCAGGTAATACTCCTTCACTTAAACTCATTCTGTACAACACTAAAAGTGGATTACCTGGTACTTGTGAGACTAATCTCAGTAAACTGTAAGTAATACCGTCCTCTTCAGGAGCAGTTGACTTATTTGATTGTGCTACACAGCCTTCCCGGCTTGGTGCCTTCTTTGGTAATTACTTATCAAAGGCAGCTCCATACGAGGAGCTGCCTCGTATGGGCCAATAAGTCTTTTGCAGTTACCTTCATTCTTATGTTCTTACTTACATTTACTGAACTTTATCATCATCATCATCATTTACAGAAAGAAATTAACATAAAAAGTAGTCATTTTAATACACAAAACAGAAGTAGATATTATGTAAATTATGATGCAGGATAGGATCACTATTAAGAACTTAATTATAAACCACAATATGTTTTATATCGTCAGAAATTCTGATACATACCATATATTTTCAAATATTTACAATTAAAGTATTTATTTAGGAAATAAGTATTTTAGTTACAATAGTTAGCTCTGAGAACACACATTGTTGCAGCAAGAATTTCTTCCCACTAATCTGAGCGATGCTAATGACCCATTGGACTTGTCATGAACAACAATCAACTACAGCACCATCTATATCAGAAGATATTCAAAATATTCTTGATGTCATTCAAATTGTCAATACGAGAACAGAATACATAAGAGTTAGTTTAGTGATGTCAAAGGAATCATATTGACTGACCGAGCCCCATTGTAAATATCCGTGGCTTCCTGACCATAAAGGTACCGCCGCGGATAAGGGTAAGGAGGGTACCGTCGAGGGTAAGACACCGGATGTACCCCATATACAAGCCACACTAGCTATTAGTTCATATAAGCTGACAACTTATCCAAATAAACATTACTTCCTAATTATATATATATACATATATATATATATATATATATATATATATATATAAATGGAAATTTAGCACATTTAAATAATGTTATT